AGCCTGAGTGAACTCCACCTTACACTCTCCTCTTAGATAGCTTGGCGCTCTCACTTTTGAACTCTGCCTCAGTTTTCGAATCCTACGTATGGCTCCACTCAGGGGTCTTCAATACGGTGGTGCCCTCAGCACTCAAGAGAAACTCCAATCTCTTTGAAAAAATGCGAAAGTCTGCTGCAAAAACAGTTGTAGGACAAAGAGGGAAGGCGTACGCCGAAAGACTGAAACGCCTAGGCCAAAAAGAGGGGAATAACCTTGTTTTGGTCCTCGAGGTCACGCACATATTAGGCAAATCACGCGAACAAACTAGCCCTGCCTACAAACCGGTGGTCGGCACGAGGAAACTCAGTCAGGTAAGCGCTTCAGAAAGATGGTATTAGATACAGCCGGACCCTCTCTCCTTAGGAATCTGTGCTGTATGGAATGTCTTAATGTGGAATGAAGTTACAGCTTCCTCGTTAGGCGAATAAACGGTTAGACAGTCACGTCATTTCGCGTGGCTTACAACAGACGTACTCAGAGGATTACTAACCTCACTAGCGCACCACTACTTCATTCCCGATTACCATCCAATACTACTTATTGATACACCTACACTGTTTGCTAACTTCTCTGACAACTATTTTATTATTATTAGTCCCTTGGGTTCCTAGTGGAACATAGGGCTTCAGTAGCACGTCTCCAGTGAACTCTGTTCTCTGAGATCTTTTGAACCTGGTTCCACGACAGCTCACAAGCTCTCATTTCCTCCTCTCACGACCTCCTCCATGTCACCCTCGGACGTCCAACTCGTCGCTTCCCATGGGGATTCCACTCGAGTGCCTGGCCCCTTACGCGTGATGTCCTCAGTCGGCCTTCTCAGTGCATGGCCAATCCATCTCCACTTCCTCCTGCATATTTGTTGCGTGATAGGTTGTTGGTTGGTTCGTTCCCAGAGCACCTTGTTGCTTATTCTTTCTGGCCACCTGATCTTTAGTAGCGAGAGTAAGCAGTTGTTGATGAATGTCTGTAGTTTCCTGGAACTCCCTTTCGTGACGCGCCAAGTCTCTGAACCATACAGAAGCACTGACTTGAATGACATTGGGTTGAAAATCCGTATCTTGTTCCGCATGCTGAGTGCAGAAGCTCTCCACACTGGTTTCGGGCTAATGAACGCCTGTCTTGCTTTTCCGATTCTGACTTTGACATCCTCGTCTGTGCCTGTGGCGCCTGTGGTTGAAACAGTGCTTCCTGGATAGGTGAAGGAGGTTACTTCCTTTAAGTTTCTCCCATTGATGGTGACTGGAGTTTGTTGTTGTTGTTGGTGGTGTTGTTGGTTGGGTATCTTCATCACCTCTGTCTTCTCTATGTTCACTTGAAGTCCCGTCTTCGCTGCCTTGCCTCCTCTGTCAACTTGTTAGTTTTCACCTGTAGATCTTCAAGTTTGTGTGACATCAGGCACAAGTCATCGGCGAAATCCAAATCTTCTAGGTTCTTTTCCGCAGTCCAGCGCATCCCCCTCTTCTCGCTCCCCACTGTTTGCTGCATGATCCAGTCGACCACAATCAGGAATATCATGAGGCATAGTGGGCAACCTTGTTTCTCTCCTGTCTTCATTTCACTTCAAAGGAATCACTGAGCTTCCTATTGTGAATTACTTGGCATGTGGCGTCTTCATATAGTTGTTGAATGAGGCGAATAAAGGTTTGCGGTATTTCGTAGTATTGAAGCAGTTTCCAAATTACCTCTCGGTCGACGCTGTCAAAGGCCTTCTCATAGTCGATGAAGTTGAGGTAAGGTAGAGGACTGACTGCCATTCTATGCTCCGTTGTATGATGATGCGTAGAGTGGCGTTTCAATTTGGTCCGTACATGATTTGTACTTCCTGAAGCCAGCCAGCAGGCCTGTTCCGGTCGTAGTTTTGAATCTAGTGCATCCTTAAGCCTCTCCAGGATGATGCGGCTTAATATTTTGCTTGCTCTGGGTGGACAGGAGAGTGATTCCGCGCTAGTTCTTGCAAACACTGAGGTCTCCCTTCTTCGGGAGTTTGACACGGTAGACCTCCTTCCAATCAATGGACAGGTACCTTCCCTTCCTTTCACACCTTCTGCAATAGTGGTGTGAGCATGTCCGTTGTTGTCTCTGCGTCTGCTCTCAGTGCTTCTGACGGGATCCCATCTGGTCCTGCTGCTTTCCCGCACTTCAGTAGCTTTATGGCGTTCAGGACTTCGACTTTCGTCGGAGGGCTTGTGTTCACTGGTAGATCTGCGCCTGCGCGGCATGGTGGTATTTCTGGACGAATTGCAGGTGGTGGTGGTGGTGGTCGATTCAAGAGCTTCTTGAAGTGGTCAGCCCATTGTTTCCTTTGTTTCTCTTCTTTGGTAATTAAATTTCCGTCATCATCTTTTATTGGTTTCATCTGCACTGTGTTGATCTCTTCCCAGATAGTAACCTGGTTATTTGATACAATGTTGTCGGGTCTCTGCCCCCCCTACCTGCAGTCTATTCTGCTTCACTTGCCAGTGTTTCGTAGAAGTGTCTTTCGTCTTTCCGTGCACTCTTCTTCACTTCTTTGTCCAGTGTTTTATACATTGTGCTCAGTTCCTCTTGTCGTTGAGCATCCTTGCACTGGTTTATCTCCTGCTTCACCATCCTCTTCTTCCTGCTATATCAGCTTCCATGTATCTATCGAGATCCATTCCTTATCTTCTTTCTTCTTCCTTCCTAATACGCTTATCCAGGTTTCTTTCCACATAGCTTCAAAACACTTCCAGTGCTCATCAACACAGTTCTCTTCAGGGATGTTCCTCGATATCTCCCATTTTGTCTTGATGGCTGACATGAAGATTTCCTTTGTAGTTTCATCCTTCAGTTTCCGAGTGTTGTACTTGAACTGCGTTCCATCACCAGCTTTCTTGAAGGCTTTCAACTTGATTTGGAAGGTTCCTTGCACTAGATAGTGAGTGGTGTGAGCCTACATCTGCTCCTCTTCTTGACCTTGTGTCAAGTAGGCTGGCTGCGTCTCCACTTTCTTCACATTGAGATAGAGTCGATTTGATTTTTAGTGTGTCCATCTGGTGAAATCCATGTCGCTCGCTTTGTGGATATCCTTGTGCTTGAACACACTACCTAGCCTCCAATCACCAAATCGTTGAATGCACAGAATTCTGCAAACAATTCTCCATTCTCATTCATCACCTCACCGAGTGCTTCTCGGCCCAGGGTTAGTTCTCTTCCTGTGTTGTCCCCTCCCAGTTTGGCATTCATGTCACCCCACCCATTAGAATTTTGATGTGGCCAACTGGACTGGGGTCTTGTCCAGTGTTGATTGGAGTTGTCTGTAGAATTCCTCCTTTTTCTCTTCATCTGCATTATTTGTAGGTGTGTGGCGTAGCATTGTATGATTGTGACCTTCCTTCCTTTTGAGTTGAATCTTGCTGTCATGATCCTGATCCTGGAGGAGATTGGTTCCCACTACATGAGAGCCTTCGATGCTGTTGGGGACATCATGATAGCCACTGGAAAACTCAGTGTGCTCGTGGTTGTCGTCTGGGTGACAATATCGGAGTAGATTATTGATTCTCCAGTTGACAGTTTGGAGAGTCCACTTCCATAACATATGCTTTGGCAAATTCCAAGCACTTGAATGTGATACCTTCTCATCTCGTTTGCTATCTGGGCTGCCTTGCTAGGTTCAAGCATGGTGCGGACATTCCATGTCCCCACTTTTAATTTCGCTTTCATCGAGGAAGGGAAGACACATCGACCAATTGGCTTGCCGAAGGCAGGCTTTCGCCAACCGGCTTCCTTTCGCCTCTCCGATTCGGCTGAGGAATAATTTTGTTTTTATTTATAATATTTTGTTTGTGCTTTGAAGTTTGTTTGGTGGTTGGATTGGTTTTGCGTGGTAGGGTTGCTAGCCCTATGCCCAACCTTCCCTCTTTACCCGGGCTTAGAACCGGCTAGTAACTAGTGAACTAGCTAACAAGGCGAGGTTTCTCTAACAACTAGACCCATGATATCAACTTTTGCCATTTATCTTTTCTCACTGTCTTGTCATTCCTATTCAAGTATGCATACAGACAGGAGTCAAAAAAGGCTCCTAATCTTACCAGCAATCCGCAGCTGCGTAATCATTCTACACATTGTAATTATCAACCCACAAAAATCATTCACATCGGTGGAGCGCGCTCCTTGAGTAGTGACGTGTTTCGCTCGTCTCCCAGCTTTTGGATTTTTCCACAATGAAAAACTCCCACTTGCAATACTCAATCTAAAAACATCGAACGTTTGCAGCACTTCTGTCCATCCACGCACCTCACCCCTGCACATTCGTCAGCTCACTCCTCAACAGTTGAAAATTGGCATTATTATTCCTTTGAACCAACCGGTCTACCTCCTGTCAGTGGTTCTTGGGCGTTTCAGCTGCCAAACTGCCTTAGCTCTCGGTTCTCCTCAGAGGTCATTCCCCAGGAAATATCTTTCCTGGTTATACATACGCATCTGGAGCTTACGGTTAAACTCGTTGGTCAAGAGCAGAGGATCAAGTGACAAGTGTCTGAAGGTACCTACACAGACAGGAGTCATGGCAGTTCTCTAAACTTCCAGCAACCCGTAGCTCCCTAATCACTCTACAAATTACAACCTACTAACCCACAAAACATCCACCTCACCGAAGCTAAAAGCAAGAAAGCAGAGGGGATTTCCTCGTCCACTGCAGGAGTAAACCGAACAACTGGAACCAAGCCCTAAGAACTAGACGCGAGAGATCAAAAACTACCAGTTTTCTACGCTCGCACTATCAATATTGGATATTGGAAAAGAAAGAAACCAAAAGAGATTTATTTGCCCATTGCAGGAAGAAGCCAAACAACATGAACTAAGCGACAAGAACTAGACCTGAGAGATCAAAATCATGAGTTCTGTACTCTAGCGCTAACAATGTTTGATTTTGTTGCACATTGAATTTAGAAAGCAACCTTGTCGGCTTTGATTTGCCTAGGTCACTACCTTCATTCTACATGCTTAACATTAACGTAGGAGTTTTAGGCCATGTTGATTCAGGAAAAACAAGCCTAGCAAAAGTTTTAAGTACTGTAGCCAGTACAAGCGCATTTGATAAAAATCCTCAAAGTAAAAAACGTGGGATTACTCTGGACCTCGGGTTTTCCTCTTTTGTTGTTGATTCATCAAGCTATCCATTCTTACCTTCTATTCGCGAAAACTTTTCCAAAGTTCAATTCACTTTGGTAGATTGTCCTGGACACGGGTCGCTTATAAGAACAGTTTTATGTGGTAAGTTTTCACTTGCATGTTGTACAACTAGTTAGCATATTCCTATGGATATAAGTGTGGTATCTCTATCGGGATTAGTCATCCCTGAGCTACTGTCGAAGGACTTTCGAATAGAAAGTCAGGTTGAAGGTGGTTGTGTTTCCGCTCTGGGAACTGTAAAAATATCGACAAGATCGACTTCTGCGCAATGGTAGTGGTTTCTAATTAACCGGTGGGAATTATTTCCTTTAATATCGTTCCGCACTACTTGGTGATTCTGAAGGGCTTTTAATAATTGTGTATTTCTTATCAAGGATAAAACTGAAGAGGGTTCACCGAGATACAGTTTATCATTTGGTTGCACACTCGGACGTGCCGTCACCGAGCTCAACTCAGCGATGGACACATATAGACCACATTGCTCTTGGTCATCGGTGAAGAGGATCGGTGGAATACTGCTGCTCCTTTTGGGGTACGTGTTTAGATAGCGACCACGCGTTGGTCTAAGCACGTATTTGCCTGCGTCTCAATGGACGTAGGAAACATTTGGCAACAAAACTACTACGAGTGCTGCTGGACAACGAAAACACCAAAGCCGTGTTCAGTGAGTTGGCTAAGGAGTTATCGGGACAGAAGACTATCACTCATCCAGAAGAAGCTTGGTTCCATCTCGAGTCCACTGTAAAAGCAGAGCTGAAGACTGTAGCCGACTCCGAAATAGTGGCTAAAAAGAACCAGTGGATATCAACAACTTCTTTCGAACTAATGGATTCACGTGAACGCATTCCTGCAGGCTCTGAGTACAATGAAGAGCGAGCGCAACTTGAAGGTAGATTGAGAAAATGTCTACGCAACGACCGTAAAGAGTGGTGGACAGCGAAGGCTAAAGAGATGAAAAAGGCGGCGATTGGCGACAGTAGACAGTTATTTAGACCTATTAAGGAAAATGGGTAGGGGGTGAAAGGTCAACAACAGTTAGTGAGGCTACGGTGGAGAAGGACGGATCTAGGTATGCAAGGATGGTGGTAAGGTGCTCTTAGTCAGGTTAACGGAAGTGTTAACCAGTATTTGGGAATCAAATACGGTCCCCTCTGACTGGTCTGAACCGCTGGTCATCTCAATATTCAAGAAAAATGAGAAGTCCCCCCGTGATAACGACAGAGGAATCAACCTGACGAACATAGTGTCCAAAATTCCAGGTTCTATAGTTCTTCGACTCCTAAGTGGAGTTCAGGAACTGCAAACCCGAGAAAACCAGGCAGGTTTTAGACTCGACCGCTGGTGTGTCGACCAAATATTCACACTGCGCCAGGTCCTGGAACATAGGCACGTTTACCGACGCCCAACACTAGCTGTATTTCTCGACCTTCAGGCGGCATTTGTCTCCATTGATCGAGAAGTCTTATGGCAATGTCTGTCACTGAAAAGCGTGCCTAGTAAGTACATCAACTTATTGAAGGCTCTTCACTCGAACACTTTTGGATGTGTCAGAGCCTATGGTGAGATATCCGGGGATCTGTACTCATCGAGCGGTGTTCGTCAAGGTTGCCCACTGTCTCCATTCTTATTCAATTTTATCATAGATATTTTCATGGAGGTCTCCTTCTCGTCACCTGATTGCACAAAAGTTGACTTAATCGGTGGAGAATTTTCATTAGATCTAGAATATGCAGATGACATAGTCCTGTTAGGTGAAGACGCTGACAAGATGCAAAGTCTTCTGAACACTGAGTGGCAATTTGAGAATGTTTGGAATGCTTTTCTCTCCACCCAAATGCAAATTTTTGCTCCAGGATTGGTCTTCAACATTGCCTCGGCTAACAATAGAGAGTGAAGTGATTGAGTGTGTTGACCGCTTCACTCACCTGAGAAGTAGGATCAGCCCTTATGGCCCAGTGGCCGACGGAATCTCTGTACGGATACAAAAGGCTCGACTGGCTTTTGCCAACTCACGCCACCTATGGCGCCGCCATGATATCCGATTGTCTATTAAGGGTCGCGTGTACTACTCAGCAGTCCGGTCTGTTCTACTATATGTCTGTGAAACATGGCGATGGAAGGTGGAAGACATGAGAAGGCTTCAAGTGTTTGACCACCGTTGCCTTCGTATTTTGGGCCGTATTCCTTGGTGTCATCACATGAGTAACGCAGAAGTCAGGTGTGAAGTTTTTGGGAGTAGAGGCAATACAGTTGACAAGGTTGTGAACCTTCATCGACTGAGTGGTTGACTCCGACATGTGTTACGTATGCTTTGTTGTTGATTGCCTCATCACACAATATTGGCTGATGTAGGTCCAGTCTGGAAAAAGGCTTGAGGTGACCAGACTAAAAGATGGCATCAATGTATGAAGTGTTTGACTGTTTGTTTGAGCCATGTGGGGCGATGCAGACTGGGTGATTTGGGTCCGCGGGACAAGAGAAACCAGTGGTTGGCGTGTCTAGGGGACCACATGGCTGAGAACCGATGTGAGTGTTGCAGATGTATACATTCATTATCCTCATCTTAACGACACTATACCGAATGCCACTATTTCCTCACTCTTCCTTTCTCTCTTTTAGTACTTTATATCTTTTGACTGGGTTTTCTTCTCTTCATCTTCAACTTCACTGCCTTTTTACTTGGTGTAGTGATATGAGGTGTGGCAACTCGGACCGTTACGCAGTAATGCCTGGTCCTATGTTGATATGGATGATGATAATATCCAACTTCACCGACTTGTCATCTACGTTTATTTCTTCAAATCAGCAAAAAAAGTGAGAACCTAAGTATCCTCAAAAGCACTATATACTATCATCTCTCCTCATTTCTGCATTAAAATCTAAAAGTCCACTGTTTCCTTTGTTGACGCGTTTGGTCGTTTGACAATCGCTGAAGAACGTAAGTGCATGCTTCCCAAAAATATTCTCAGCCTTGCCTGTGCAAATTTTTCCATCCTTTCATGAGTGTTACTCAACATGCTCCCACCAGGTGGAGGCAGTAGGTGGAAGAGAGGATAAATGACTGTCCACTTTTATAATTAGAAGTTTATATTTTTTTAAAATCGACATCGTCTCGTTATCTTTGCTGGTTAGCCTCTATTGTTGTCTTTTATAGTTGCGTGGTCAGTCAGATACTTGTTAGTCTCATTTTGAACTAGCATTAATTAGTACTGCTACCCAGCAGACATTGTCCGAGAAGAGGAATTATGGTGGGAAAACTTTTCAGGAAAAGGGTTTTGTTGTTAGACCTATGACTCCACAAATCTAAGGTAAAAAGTACAAAATTAAGACAGGAAGCAGAAACGTCAATTACGTTTCCTTGATAATATTTCCAGTAACATAGTGTGAAATTGTGATGGTAGTTAGTTGAAAGCGTTGATTATCATATAGGTACGAGTCGCTGCTAGTACATAAAATATACCCTATAGGTACACCGGGTTAGGGTGACACTGCTAAGTCTCTTAGCCTTGCGCAACTCCAGCCCGTAGCTGATTATCACTGGTTGGATGTTTTTTGAGTGTTTCTTCTGCTTTCGTCTCATGCCTATAAGATATAACATCTCATCGAAATGTGCAATCAGGTTATTTTAACGTTATAAAGCAGCAGATGATGATCAGTACCTGAATTTATTGAAGTATTTTGTCACTGCAGATGCATTCACTTCATATGACCATCCAAATCACAAAAGCCTTGTCACTTAGCCTTATTTCCTTTGGGTGACTTTGTTTTTGTCTCGTAACTTTCTGCAATTGCTCATGTTACTTTTGTTTCATTATGTTCTTGCAACTTTCTCGATGTACTGATATGAAACATCATCATCAATATAGAACCGAGTATTACTGTATGACATTCCAAGTTGCCACATCTCATATCATCACATCAAGGAGGAAGGCATCAAGATGAAAGATAAAAACTATAGTAGAGTCGGTCACAAACAGTAAAAAGTAGTAAAACAGAGGTAGTAGGAAACTTGAGTGCTGAGTTGTGAGGGCAGTTGACACTTCCCGACTCCTCACACCGTGGGAGGCTATTTCTTATTAAGGTACCTGAGAAAGATTTGTGACCGCAGACTCCATCGGTCATCTGCTTGAGGCCTGTCACATACAGCCTTTTGTGTATTGTTATTTTGAACTTTTCCTGTTTTGGGGCCGGATGGTCGAAAAAGAAATGGTAAATGAACCAACACCGCCGGCTCGGCAGACCGTGGGGCATGATGGTATGTTATTTTTGGGGCCAACCGTTTCCAACCCCCCCCCCGACTTCCACTGGGAAGGCAACATCAGCATGGCACTGTCGGTCATCCAAGGGAAACACCTTACTGCTGTCACACCCCACCCACCTAACAACAGTATGACTTCGCCCTTAGACTCCCATCATAGTGTAGTAGTTTACACCACAACGGTAACTGCTTCCCGTCTAACCACTTTCCAACAGACTTTTCTAGTATGGTAGGACCTCAAGGGAACAAGTGTTCCACCAGCACAGCTCGTTGGGTCATTGTGATGTGCAAGCCCGACCACCACGTCAAGGTAGCAGCTATCGGTCGGGGTTAGTAGGAGTAAGAAGATACTGAACTTATTGGGATAGTTAATACGTGGATAACGTGTGAACACATCCGCACCACTGAGATCGATTCTTAGCCATGTCACCTGGTCACCAGCCACTGATTCCTTTTGTCACAGACCCCAACCGGGTTATTTATATTCCCCCATACAACTCAGACCAATACTCAATGACTTCATAGACTAATGCTATCTTAGTCTGACCTCTGCGTTAAAGCAGACTCAATGCAGGAATTAAACACCTAAACTTTTATGTTATTAAGTTACTTTTAAACATCCATATCGAGCCCTAGTTGCATGTATTTTTAACCTTGATGTTCCTTTTAATTAGTTATATATAATGACACCAATATATCAAAATGTCCCTTAAATTCCTTGAAATATTAGGGACTGGGTGAACAGACGCTTGTGGATGATCACCTTACCGAAACAAATGTTCCTGTAAGAGGCTTAACCAAACTATGTCGCTTATTAATGAATGTGCATGGAGCGAAAACTTGGGTTATATTTCCCACTAAACTGTGATGCCCTATTTTCACCTGTTCACAAGGATGTACTGTTTGGGTTTGTTTTTACAACGCACCTGCTATGAGACAAACAGAAAAACCAACATAACGTGGCATAAAGTGAATTGTTTTGAGTCGCCACACTGCATAGTAGCATCAAATGACAAGTGAATGTATAAAGTGAGGCAAGAGAATGTAAGAAATAAAAGCTAGTGAAAATATCCATGCGTCCGAAGATTCCAAAAGTGTATACGTCTGCACCATTGTGACCGATTTTCAGCCAAATCATCGAATTTCCAACCGTTCATTCTTGTTATCTTGAGGACTCTAGCCAGGCAGCTTGCATCTCCCTACACGGCTCAGACCAACAATTAGAGACTTTATAGACTGGTACCAAGTCTTGGTCTGGCCACCCCAAATCTTCGTTCAACCCGATTCTGTTTCCGCTAACATTGAGTGTTAAGGTAGACGTGGTTTGGCATGTATAACGTGTCCAATCCACCTCAGTCGCGGAAGGTTCACAAATTCATCGACTGACAAGCCTAATTTCGACATGGTTCACACTTTCCACCATACGCGAGCAGTCCTACGAGGGCAATAGCAGTCATAGACGTGTAACCTTTTCATATTGTCGTCTGTCAGAGACCAAGTTTCAGTCGTATAGAGGAAACTGACTGCAACACAGTATACTCGTTATTTAGTAGGAAGTCAGATTCTTCGTTGGCACCGTAGATGGCGTAAGTTGGCTGATGCCAACTGGGCCTTGTGTATCCGAGCTGAGATTTCGTCAACCAATGCATTTGAGCTGGCGTAACTCACCAACCAAATGAATTTACTTCAGTTGGCAACTGTCCACAAGTTCCCTCTTAGCTCCGTGAGTTTGACTAAGAAGCTTTCATTTGCTTAACATATTTGCTTGGTGGCCCCTTCACTATCAAACACTGTGACAGCACCTGTCGGTTGACAGAGTCAAATAGCGCCTTCAGATCGAGAAATATAGCGAATGTAGGCCATCGGTAAGGATACTCGTGTTCCAAAACCTCTGAAAGGGTGATTACTTAGTGATACACCCTCGTCTAAATCTGCAACCTACGTCGTTTGTTCTAGAGCTCCAGCCACCTGTCATATAACTATGAACTCTATGACTTTGGGATGATATTCCGGCAAATCCCCCTGTCCTTATCACAAGACTGGGATATTTGACAGTCTAGGCTAGGTTGACAGGAGTATCTCTGATTCCCACGTATTGGCTAGTAGTACCTGCCTTACTCTATTCAACGGCTTTTCTACCTCCATCCTTTAAAACCTTTGGTGGAAAACTGTCAGGTGCTGATGCTTCGTATCGATTCATGTTTGAAACAGCCTTCTGAACTTTGAGGAAAATTGGACGCCCGCCATCTACATCACGTTAATTTTCTGGATGAATCCTGGGTATTTGATAAGTCAGCTGATTATTTAGGATTTTTCACGCATAGAAAATAAATATTTAGTTTCGCAGTATTATTACAGTTAACTGCCTTACGTTTGCCGAACAGAAATTGAGTTGGTTCTTTGCCAATGATGTTACCATTAATTTACAAACCGTGACAAAAACAAATTACAATAGGACTCTTAAAGAGAAGTTCCAACGAAAGTACTGTTAAACAGTAAGTTCCCTCTTAGCCTCTGAAACGGGTGCATATAGTGTCTCTACACCTACATGGTGAATGTATGATATAGTTTGCTGGCCTTTAAGTAGGACTATAAGTCACATGTATTTCTTGAGGATTTATATCATTAACCACGTATCTAAGTCTAATCGGTATGACAGAAAGTCATTGTACGTTGGCAGTATAAGCGAAATCAGTACAGTTCAGTTCAATTCATAAAAATCAAATCCATGATAGTGTTAGGGATCCCTATATCCCTTAAATTCCTTGCTCACAGTTTGGGTATATCTGAACTGTTTTACTTCACGCTCAGTTTTCCGCTTATGGGTCATATTTTTTATGATCCACTAGCGTTCTGATCGACTCTTGCCTCTTTAAATATACTAATTATTCCTTGCCTTTAAAGATTACTGTAAACTCTATAAATAGGTTTCGTTTTCACTAATATACGTTTTTAGTCCGATATACTATATTCTCATCTGACTTCCACTCTTTTGATTTCTTTTTGCGAATCACCCGGGTTGAGTTGTCTCAACACTTGACTATCAATCGTTAAGTATTTTCGTTCGTCCTCACAACTCCACATCATAACAGATAGCCTTTCTACATTTTAAGTCTTCTCATTATCCTAGCCATGTTTCAAGTTGCTGTGTTTGATTGTAGGACTTATCGTTCTTTTAGCAGAATTATTTGCTACTAACTCAAGTCAATTACAAAGTAAGTGATAGCGTAAACTATGAGCTTTATCTGTTATTACTTGTTTGGCAAACGGGTAAATCAACGTAGAACTCACGGAAGTGCATCAGGACAAGTTACTACACTTTGAAGCAGTATAGGATAAGAAAGTGAAGTGGGAGAGAATAATAATAAAATAAATAATAAAGATATGAGAGAAGAGGGCCCAAGTTTTTCAATAGTAAATGTTCAAAAATGACAGTGCGTACATTGACACCCCTCCGATTCATTTTCAGGTTGAATTGTTTTGCTAGCACTCAAGGGGTTAAAAGGAGTTGGACACTAAAAATGCAATCTCGTAGACGGTTGAACTGAAATCCTAACATACCTACTCAACTTAAAACTATCCAAATTAAGTTTTTTGATCGATTTGATCAAACAGTCTTTTTTGCATATGACGTCTCTTTGTCAATAAATGTAATGATGGTGGTTAGGACACTAAGTAAGTGAACGATTTTAAGAATAAACGTAGACTTTCAAGGAAGCAAGTCAGTAACCGAAGTCGTGACTTCGTTGATTGTTATGCCTAGAACGTACCAACGACTCCTACTCATTATTTGTCTGGACGTAGAACAACTGTAGTAAGGGTATTTCAAACACAATATCGATAGTTGGACTGAGACATAATAGCAACAGGACTCAGCAATGATGCATAGAATAATGCAACAAGCCATTAGCCACTAATAATGGGAAGACTCGTAGAACGAAATTTGAGCTTACGATCCGCTGGTTGGGGTTTGAGTGTTGAAACCAATGAGTCATGGCTTCACACAATAACTTCGCTTCAATTCATTAAGTCTAGGCTTCGTAGCTTCGGTCTGTGAAATCGTAAAAAATAGTGGTTGAATTTTCTAAACTGACATGACTCAAGTTTGCTCAAAATATCAGGTTAAGGTTCATTTACCCTTGATTTCATTATTCAAAGACTTGAATTTCATTTCTAACCCTGAATTTTCCACTTGAACAAAGCTGTTTAACTGCACTAAGATGAAAGGATTTGGCTTCCATTTTGATTGGTACCTATTAATACCATGTTATCCTCTCTGATTACAGGGTCTCAAATAATCGATATTATCCTTCTCGTTGTGGATGTCACTAAGGGTTTTCAAACTCAAACAGCTGAATGTTTAGTGATTGGTGAAATTGCTTGTGAAAAAATGTTAGTGGTTCTCAACAAATGCGATCTGTTGGAAGAAAATCAGAGACTTGAGTCTATTCAGAAGGTAGATTGACTTCTTGTGATTATGCTGCCTGAAGATGAGAAAACGAATTTTGAAAACCCTAGAAGGCACGATTTTCAAAGGGTCAGGAATTGCTGAAGTTTCAGCTGCTCCTGGTGGCGTTCAGGTGAGATAAAGCTTGTTTTGTGTTCTTACATCATCGCACAAACCTCATGATTTTTTCCCAGTTTCGAAATCCGTTTGTTATTCGCGTGATCTTATCGCTAACTGAGCTTCTTGTGTAGCATAAAATTTAGGTACGAAGATGTAGTAAATTGATCTGTACATGCGATTCCGAGCTACTGGACTGTAACTATACCTTACTGCTATTTTCCTATGACTAACCGAGTGGTAATGTAACGCAAGTCAAAACAACATGCAGGGTACACACTAGACGATAGTACACATGGTGTTTAAATGTTATGTCTGCCTGTTCAGATGTCGTTAGCTGAAGTAGGGTTTCGAAGCATTATTAATGTCACCAATTAATTACCTCTATTGATTACTCGCATCTGGATACAGACATCAGACCTAACAGAAATACTCTTTATCTCATGGCGTTATGTCAAACTGATGATCTTTCCTCTTCTGTATAGTTTCCTGTGTACATAACTGCAGTCCTTTGTTTCTTACTGTATATCCTTCGTAAACGAACTGTAGAAACTGAGTTATTTAGAAGGTGAAGATTAGGTTAATCTACTCAATAAACTGTAGCGTTGAACAAAATATTTTTAAAAATAAAAACTGCATGAAGGTTTGAATATTTCCATTGAGACATAAAAGCACGATTTCAACGATCAAATTTGTTTTTAGTGATATCATTCTCAAAAGCTTGAATAAACTGTATATAAATTAGAAATACTGGCAATTTTCTGTACAGTTCAGTCATTTTCTAATCCAAACTGCGCAGCAGTTTACTCTATAGTCTTATGAATATTTAGTAGACAATTGTAGCTAAAACTACAATAGAGAAGCTAAGTTTGAGCACCATGACCCAAATAGGTCACAGTAACTTAAGTAAATTGTTTATCATAACTGAAATGAGTTGTCTGACTGTTGACTTATTATAAAATGCCAAAACAACAAGTGTGTATAAAACCTTTTTCCACATAATTTTCATTTTGCTAACTAAATGAATCTGTATCTCATGACTTGGCACCTAAACTAATTCAGAGCGAGGTAAGTTAATTTGAGTGCAAATTGGTTTGGTCTCTGACCTTGGTGTCAGTGCTTTGTTAAAAGACTTCTCACTGTATATGGAGAAGTTCTTACATAAAACTTTTTTCCTCATTGTATTGCAGATAGAGATGGAGGACATTTTAGGTTGTTTAGAGTGTTTTCTTATCTATGTTTCAGAATGAATTTTACTGTCATAATCCTGTGAAACACAAGTCTGTGTTGGTTACATCTACTTTAATAGGCTTAGTACTTTAACTTTGCCAAAGTTTTTATGATTTTCTTTTGATAATTGGTAAATTTGTTTTCCATATCATAAAACAGGTAGAATTTACCCCTGAACTCACAAAACGTCCTCAAGAAGTGGAAAATTTAATCACTGTACTAGCACAATCAATTTCTGATCCTACTGAAAAGCGGAATAAATTAAAAGATATGAGTTTTGTCTTCGCTGTGGACCATTGTTTCACGGTTACTGGACAAGGTACTATTCTTACTGGGACTGTACTAACTGGAACCGCTAGTGTTGGCCAGGTAATATGTGTTTTAAAAGCTAACTCAGGTAAATATTCTGTCTATCTCGTATCGAAACCCACACACTTCAGGTGTAGTTTACAACCCAATTTACATCCGTACACATTTTCTTAATTGTGAGGTAGCTGGGTATTCCTTTTCTATTTACTTATATAGATGTGCGTGCCCATAACGTTATTCCTTTTGTTTCTGGTGAGGTGAATGGTTTTTAATGAGGTGCTCGGCCTTATCGTGGACTCTTAGACTGAATATGTCAGCTAAACGATATCCATAAAGTTTAATAACTGGGTTGGTACCAGATATAATCACATGCTTTGTGATTACTCGTGAATTATATGATATTTGTAAATATCAGCGTTATTGTTAATGCATATCCATTTTGTCACTATTGTTAGTCAAACGAAAACACCTCACGAGTGTTAAAATAAAAGTGCACTTTTACACTTATTGGTGGAGATTGATTGGTTGACTGTTAACCCCAATATCATTCGTAACTGACTATTCATCATTATTTGAAGGTCAGATGGTAGTTATTTTACTTGAATCATATTTTTGTATATAGGAAACTATCTCAGTTCATCAATACTTCTTCTTTTAGTTCTGACTTGATTCTTAAATTCAACTATTTCAGGAAATACATACAGTCAAGGAAGCGGCCTTGCAGTTCGTTCTTTAGGTTGTATTCGGTTTGCACTGTAAATAGTCATGAGTCGATCATGGTAAATCAATCGTATCAGTCTCAATGTAAACTCACCAGTTCGACCACTAGTCTTATTTACAACTAATCTATATGTAAGTACAGTTAAATCCGCTCACAAATTTCAGTAACCCTTACACTAAGTAGGATGACCCATACCCTCTGAATGATGGTTGTACAATAACTGTATTAAATAATTCAGTTTTTGTCGAAATCAAGTTTTGATAACATTAAAAACTTCAAATTGATTTCAATACAGGACAAGCCTACTGAAGAAACATCATGGAGATTTACAGCTGGTTTCAGCATTTTCAATAGCGTGTAAAGATTTCAGAAGTAATCAATACTGTACTCACTTCATGACGGGATTCTTTCTGAAGTTAAGTAATCTGTTTTCGGAGTTACCTACTACAAGGGAAATCGGCAAAGTCTTCGAGTTGTTTTAATTCCCAAGTGTTTATATTGTTCAGTGTATACCGTATTCATAAAAATTACGGTCGCAACTGTTCTCAGATGTCTTGTCTATAAAAAAATTCATATTCAGTTGATAAACGTGATTTTTAACTGCTTACTCGTCTTATATTGATCTTGGTGACTACCAGAAGTCCAGGATGTGCGTTTCTTCCTATTTGGGACTCTTCAACTGAATGTACCTGCACTCCAGTAAGTAGTGTTCCCACCGGGGCTCGAACCCAGCACTTATCGCTCCAAACCCCAGAGCGTTACCCACTAAACCACTATTCACTCGTTTTCTTGCAGTTTAGATGGAACTAAGACAGTCAATCATTTGAACCGATTAATTTCAAAAGATTTATACATACATTAGCAGTTATAACTGTATAGAAAATTAAAGATAACTCGTAGGAATAACTTCCGTGTGCTTCATATGAATATTGGAGTTATGGCTCACTTGTTTACGGGGATGACTTTCAACCATTGGGTCACGGGTTTCGAATCCTGCTCCACCTACTGGGGTTTGGGTAGCCAGATAGTATCACTAGCCTCACACAATAGATGTGGTTCATTGCCTCTATGAATATTAGACAACAAGTTGACTAAGCTGATCAAAATGTTCTATCTGTGACACAAATCACTTCTAGTCATGTCGAAATCACGGAATTGAGCATCTCCTATCCTTTGGATGGGATTTTCAAATTGAGTGGAATTACAGTTACTGTTTTTCATTTACGAGTGTTACATTTAACAAGGAAATGTGACTTATGTATCAATAGATTATAGATTTTCAATGACTGTTGATTTCCAATGATCATCCAACTAATCTAATTCTGCTCTGTTATGAATTAACAAAAGTTGGAATCTACTATTTATTTATATACTTGTAATTCTCCGATGTTTTATTGGATCAAATTGTTTGACCTCTATTGTCTGAATGTTAATTATGGTAATTGGTTTGGTTGTAGCTAGCAGAAGAATCCAGGACGCGCATTGGAAAGTTTACATCATTAGATCCCAGCCTGTGGATGAATGGTAGTGTTATCTGCAAGACCTCAAGCTTCTATCCCAAACGTGACCGTAAGTGTGCTGTACTACTAGGTTATAGCTCCATTTGGTGCAGTATTCGATTTTCAATCAATGGATTATGGGTTCTAAATACGCGGCACGTAATTAAGTTTGCCAGCCAGGTAGAATGACACCTCTGACAGAGGAAGATGTAACTCATTTGTGAGTACATAAAAGTATTAGCGGTTGTTTTGTCACTATTCTTAAGGAGTTCCAATCTTAAGACTGAATAGTCATTCAGTGCTCTCTCTACTCTTGTAGTAGCTACTCTAGTTATATCAATTTGTGTTCGAGAATACTTCGAAATCAATCAATTGCATCTTAAACCTCCTGGTTTTTTTGACGTAAATTTATTGTTTCCTCTTTTCTACTCCCAGTTATATACATTCCTGTTTTTTTAACCTTTTTCAGACTATTGGTTTACCTTACAACGAATTCAAAAGAAGATTAAATCTATTCAACGATTTCGTCAACCAATTCAATCAATTGGACCAGTATGCCATTGAATCCCTTCACACTATTATTGCTGTTAATTATGTGTACACGTATTCATCATTGAATATTAGCTGCTAATGTAAAACTGTTAAGCTCAAAGTTGGTGATAGAAATTCAGCACACTTCTTGGTTATCATCTGGTCACCGATTCGTACACGTGATCTACCTTTAAATGTGGTAATTTGTCACCTGAACAACTTTACACTAAAGTCAATATTTAGAAGAGATATTTCAAATTCCTGAGAAATGTCTGTTTCCTCTAGGTTACAGGTAGCAGGCAATTGATAGGATTCCCTGAAATTAGGTTTTTGGCACTTGTCAGCAAGCTGTGTCTACAGCCTCAAAGGAGCTGGTATCCCCTCTGGGATTTGAACCTCCCGTCACACAGTGTTGTAGTCAGCTACATTAACACTGAGCTATGCAGGTCGCAATCAACCTGTAGGTACACGAATTCAGTACTGAGGATGTCCCTTACTTATGAGTGTTACGAAATCTAATAATCTGATCCTAGGAATTCTCTTTAACTATATTCAACTATTAAATACGATGAAATTTTATGTAAAGTTGTGAAGTTTGTTTAAAATATAATTGCCCATGTGAATAATCGAGATGCTCTACTCAAATGGACTGATGAGAATATTTAAAGTTTACTACTGATTACTTTCATTACTCATATTCAATGTGTGATAGTGTGTTCATTGTTAGATAAATTTGTAATATTTAATGGAATTGAACCATTTGAAAAGTTGACGGTAAGGATTTTCAAGGGAAGACATTTTCCATTAGAAGTGCACTAGGTGGCTGCTTTCCTCTTTTATCATTTCCAAATTTTGAGATTATTTCACTCATTTTAGATTTCTACTGCTCATATTATTCGTGTAATACGTGAAATTCCAGTAATGATTGATAGTTGCTAGCAGTGGAATCCAACATGCGCGTTTCATCCTATTTGGAACTCGTCAGTTGGATGTAATTGCCTCCAACGGAGTGATGTTGTCCCCACCGGCATTTGAACTTGAGACCGATCGCTTCAGAAATCAGAGCGTTATCCACTACACCACCGAGCCACTATACATACTTCTTGTGTGACGAGTATAGTTTTTAGTATTATTGCTTGCATTATACTGTCGTTGATTGGACCGAATTGATCGGTCTCTATTGGCATATGGACTCCTGTGTGGATGCCTCGATATTACCTGTGTTTTTATCCTAGTAATGATGGATGGTGGCTAGCATTGGAGTCCAAAATGCGTATTTCATCCTATTTAGGACTCATCAGCTGGATGTATCTGCCCATATGGCCAATAGAGACCGATCAATTCGGTACAATCAACGACGGTATAATACAAGTAATAATACTAAATACGTGAACTTGTTGAAGAATCCCCACTTTTGTGTCATTCTATTTCTACGCAATGAGTTTTAAAAATAATCACTGTATATTCATTATTTTTAAGGTTGTTCCCGTATTGAATTCACATCAGATTCTAAGGGTGCTGGACAGCTATTTCTTCTACATTTTTTGGGTGTTTGTCGAAATTTATTGATTTCAAGTCGGTATTCATCATGGATTGACGTCAGTTGGTGGAACATTGGAGGCCTGGGAGCACTGGATGGGTGTTTCGTCCTGGTATGGGACTCTTCAGCAGTGCGCACTCATGAACCCTAGGAATCGAACCTAGGTCCTTCTGGTTCCGTGGCCAGCAAGTTACCATATAGCCACTGGGTCAGGATCCAATGGTCCATATTTCCTACTTCTGTCATTTCATGACATAGCGCAACCGTCTTCCAATGTCATCGTTGAGTATTTTTCCTCACATCCATCAAATGCTCATTGCTGACTAGCTTCGAGAGGTGGTTCCTGAAGTTCCAATGAGAAGTCGTGACCGCTGGGGCAAAATTAGTCGACGTGAGGACGGATACTCGACGATGACATTGGGTGATGGTCGCGCTATGTCATGAACTGATAGAAGTTGGAAATATAGACCACTAGATTCCGACTTAGTGGCTTAGTGACAACACGCTGGCCACGAAACCTCAAGGTCATGGGTCCTATCCCTGGTGGGGTCGTGGTTGCGCACTACTGAGGAGTCTCATACTAGGACAAAACAGCTGTCCAGTGCTCCCAGGTTTCCAATATCCCTCCAACTTTCTTCTTAGTTTGCAGCTTCTTAACAGTGCGCAGCCACAATGTCAGCAATCGAGCCTAGAACCATCATGTCGAGCAGATTATCTATCTTCCAGCCACTGAGGTAGAATTCAGTGATCTACAGTTTATTACTTCTCCTCCTGTTATCTCATTTCTATTTTCTCGCTGTGAGGCGTTTGAATGATCTACGAAGAATGTTCATTTGACTGTTTATATAATCTTTCGGCAATGACATTTGCATTGAAGTACATATGCCACATTCAAATAGTTATATTATTCAGCAATGGGTGGAAAATCTTTTTAGTCTACTAGATTCCATCAGTAAACTATCGATCATCTTTCTAAAACCAATATCTCAGACAAAGCTAGGAAAGCATACCACCTAGTACACGAATTTGTCACCAGTGGGTAACTGATGCAGTTATCTGGTTTTGAGTACTGAGTAGTGGTCGTAGTCTGTCGATCATGTTTTACACTATAGCCACTAGGTAATGTGATGCAATACTGAGGTGCACTGTATTTTGGTGTTAGATGTTGAGGACGCCCTGGACCTAGATTTCTTGCTTTTTGATACTCATCAGCCAGGTGTGTCTGCAAACGTGAAGAAACTAGTATCTCCTCGGTAATGCAAATCCGCCTCACTCATTAATGAAGTCACAGACTTAAACTGTTCGGGAAAGGAAAACTAGTTCCGTTAAATTTAAATATCGTATATATCTCAGCTGTTTCAGATGAATATTTCCTGCAGAAATTGACTTCTAAACACTAGCACAGTGACCGTCTGGTATGTGGACCACTTTGATCTGAATTATTATATCTGATGAGGGTGGTTGATAACCGATTGTTTAAAATTCAAGGATAACAAATCCTGTTGAATTCTAATGGTTCCGTTTCTCTTATTTTGATTAAGATGTCAACAAAAGAAGCAGTCAGACCCTACAATCCTCAGAAGGAAATCCTGTTTCTCGGTCTTACTTTCAAGAGAGATCAGCTGATGTAAGACGTAAATAGGAAAATAAAATCTGCGCTGTAAAACACCATCATAGCAGCTTAATTAACCTGTATAAATGTGAACGTAGTGTAAGCTGCAACAATCGAAAAACATACGGTTCACATCTCAAAATATACTTGCCGATTTACTTATATCCGTGAAAACCTCGATTAATTTGAAGAGTGAAATCAATCAGTTACTATCAACGTGAAATGTGGCATTAATTTGTAACGGTTCAAGTTACTTACTATGTCTTATGTCACCATATCACCATGCAAGATAAGAAATAGAGAAATAGTAAAAAGTAATCGAAATTGGCGAAAAGTCAAAAGAAAGAAAAAGAGGGTACTAAACAATAGGAAAGTGCAATATGACTATCACGATGAGTATAGTGTGTGGATGAAGCTGCGCTGCTGAGATCGATTCTCAGCCATAACATCTCCAGCCTTCAGCTATCGATTTTTTTTATCAAATAGTACCCTACCAAAACGTATGCGTGACTCATACTAACCGTCAGAAACATTTTGTACGAATGCCATGTTTAAGTTTGATCACATAGCCTTTTTTCAGCTTCTGCTTAACATCGCATATGGCTGATAGTTCTGAAACACAGAAACGCATACCAACTACTAGTTTACAGAAGTTTGTGTTTCCTTTTCCAATTCATATAAAGTTGATCGATTCAAAAATGTTTTTTATTATGAAATGGGATAACGCGAGTAACTGTAGGTTAGTCGATAGTTATTTCTTAAACCTTAAAACTTACAAACCAGTTTGAGTCCTACATAGTAGTGTAATTTACTTGTCGGATAGTTTAGATGTTTTTCATGCACACTGCGGAGTAGCTCCGCAACAAGACTCGTACTTTTCAGTAAATTTCTTCCCATTGTTGCTATTCACTTGGTGGTGGAATCCAAAACGCACGTTTCTTCTTATTCGAAGCTCGTCAGCTGGATGCACTTGCACCCTAGTGTATGATAATGTTTCTGCTGAGACACGAACTCCGCATCCATCGTTTTAAACACCAAAGCGTCATCTACTAGCCCGTAAAGACATGAGAACTATCTCTTGTGGAGCATCAATATCAACTTCGGATAAACTGCCCGACCGATAGCCGCTACCTTGACGTGGTGGTCGGGCTTGCATATCACAATGACCCAACGAGCTGTGCTGGTGGAACACTTGTTTCCTCGAGGTCCTACCATACTAGAAAGGTCTGTTGGAAAGTGGTTAGACGGGAAACAGTTACCGTTGTGGTGTAAACTACTACACTATGATGGGAGTCTAAGGGCGAAGTCATACTGTTGTTAGGTGGGTGGGGTGTGACAGCAGTAAGGTGTTTCCCTTGGATGACCAACAGTGCCATGCTGATGCTGCCTTCTAAGTGGAAGTGGGGGGGGGGGTTAGAAAAGGTCAGCCCCAAAAATAACATCATCATGCCCCACGGTGTGCCGAGCCGGCGGTGTTGGTTCATTTACCATTTCTTTTTCGACCATCCGGCCCCAAAACAGGAAAAGTTCAAAATAACAATACACAAAAGGCTGTATGTGACAGGCCTCAAGCAGATGTCCGATGGACTCTGCGGTCACACAAATCTTTCTCAGGTACCTTAATAAGAAATAACCTTCCACGGTGTGGGTAGCTGGGAAGGGACAACTATCAGCACTCGGATGAATTAATTTTCTGAATAATTTTCATTCCAATCCTAATTATGTTTCAGGGTGATCGTGCTGGTATATGCGTTCCACAACTGGATCCCAACTTACTGGAACGTGGTCTAGTCGGTGACTTGTCGTCAGATGACAATTTAACTCTTTGTCATGCCTGTATACTAGCAAATGTGGAGAAAGTTCGTCATTTTAAAAATCCAGTTAAAAGCAAATCTCGTCTGCATATTTTTGTCGGTCAAGAAACAGTTATAGCGAATTTAACATTCTTTAGCAAAATGAAATCTGAAAAACCGTCTTGTGAAGAAGATCGTTTGAATAGTCCTAAGGGATCGTACAATTTCGATAAGACAGCAACATATCAATATGTTGATGAATTGTGCAATGAAACAAGTTAGTGATCGCTTTTTGTATGCATTTTCAATTCTGTGAATAATATATCGTTATGTTTTTCTCATTGATATGAGTACTTAGTTTTCAGATACGTTGAATCCGAGATTCTGTTGCATTATAATTACCTTAATTTGGTCTGTATGCGCTTAAATCTTGTATACACTGAATTAAATGAAGTGCATTCAAAATATCTATTGGTTTATAAGGTCCTTTTGCCTTTGGATCTAGACATGAAATTAACTCATGGGTGTTGTCAGTTGTTGTTCCAATTTCGGTGAACTTTGTTCCTTGTGATTTTGGAAATCTTCATGTCCCATCCACCTGTAGCTTCACAACGTCTTGTTTTACAAGCATTTTATAGCATTGTATCTATCTTATCTTGTCTTTTTCTTGTAGTCCTTTATCAGCACTAGAATTATTTTAAAATATCTTTGTTTTGAATAGTGTTGATTTCATTTCAGCGTGCGAAAATGAAGAAACTTGTTTCTACATACGGTTTCATCACGCTCTATTATGTTTAACTATCACTTTTTAAAGTGGTCGACGATTCTGTATCCATTGTTCTCCGATTGACACCTTATCAGAACAGGCCTAAATACTTAATTTCGATTGCTTACCTAGCAGGCTTCATTAGTGTCATAGAATATTTTACTAGTCTTTATGGCTATTCAGTATCATGGATGTACAGCCAGACTAGAACGTGATATCAGTGTATGGGGTCTTCGACTGTCGATGTGAGCCGTGTTTAGAGATGTAGACTAGCCGGTTGGGGTCAACGTGACAATAGAAACAATTAGTTTGAGACGCTATGTGATATGGCTCGGAATCGAGGTCAGTGGCACAGATGTATCCAAACTTTATCTTCATATTAACCGCTATACTGAATTAAGCATTTTCTTATTCATCTTTACTCTTTCTAGCTGCTTTCTGTTCTCTTTCTTCACCTTTCGTTTTACTGCTTTGTTACTTGATGTGCTGATATGAGGTGTGGGAACTTAGACCTTTGTGCAGTAATGCTTGGTCCTGATACTGATAATGACGGATCGTAGATATGTGTCGATAAACGAATATCAACAACCAAAAATCTGTCATAATTGTGCATAGAACAAGGCTAATTTAACAGTGGGAAAAACAAGAGAATAAGAATAACTGTGTTACTACAGCAGTAAGAAGAAAGTTGAGAAAGTAATTGAAAGAAACGCGGTAAGAAAGGAAATAGGAGAGATAGCATAATGGGGCTACCAAGATATCGAAGATAAGGGGGTCGATGCATTTCTACACTACAATAATCGACTTTGAAGTATAAATGTTTTTACCAATCAAACCTACTTCTCTATGCCGAATCCAAGATGATTTCAAGGTCTTATTATATCGATTAGGAAGGCTGAACGCATATTTCTTCGATTTTTGTAAGTAACTAACGCTTAGAATCCACAGAATTCATTTAACCATCATTTTTATAAGTTCTGTTTTGGTCAGCAACATAAATATATTCCTCAAAGGGTTTTTCTCTAGATGCTTGTAACATGACTCAAATCAACACTCCTAGGTTTCTTGCGTCGCAGTTATTTTCAAGCTGGATCAATAGTAGATTGAAATTGCCGTCATATTGATCAGAAAATTTGGCTCATTGGTCCAGGTTTTTTACTTCTTTCTAACCAATGTGTCACAAGTTCGAACTCTGCTCCACCTCATCAAGTCATGGGCAGTCTAGAAGTCTCATTATCAGTTATGCGATGGATGCGCTTCATTGCCTGGTTTGTGAAAATGCAAATGGTCGCTGAATTACATTTATTCAAAGTGTTGAAAATATGATATGTTACCAATTCATAAATCAGATGGGTGTTTATCTATGTTGTATAACCAAAATGGAGGTAGATGGAGACAGCTCCATATCGATTACAGTAATGTAGATGCGTTCACTGTTCACGTTCTTTTGAATCATGATTACTTGATACTTTTGTAAAACAAGAAAAATAAGATTTTTTAAAAATCTCCATGGCTTCTCGGTTGCAAACAGTCTAAAATCAATACAAAAGTAGTAGGGGCTAAAAATAGTAGCATGCTTTTCCGCCAGAAGAGAACAAATATTTGCAGTGAGGGAGATAGATGGAATAGTTAAAATTCAATGACAAACCGTAGTAATACGAATGACAGTGATCAAGTTTGTTCGTCTATAGGTGATTAGAAGAAAGATTCTATAGTTTTAGGATGAGTCGTAAAAATAACAATATTAGTTCTCAGTCAGTCGATCACCTCAACCTACCGGTTGACTTACAATCCACTGTTCATTGTTCACTCATTTCGAAATGGACTACCGCAAGTTCTAATAAAAACCCAACCAGGTCGGGAATGATGCCCACCGTTGCCTCTGAATGATGGTCGCGCCCTATCACGAATTGACAGGAGTTGGGAAAAGTCAACTACTAGGTTTCACTCCGGTGACTGAATGGTAAAATGCCCACCTAAAAGCTGACGACCTTGTGTTTCATCTCTTGCAGGATCTTGGCTACACTCCGCTGAACAGTTCCAGACTATAGTAGAATAACTGTCTAGTACTCAAAAGTTTGTGATGAATCTCCATCTGACGTTAATCGGTGATGAGAACTACATTGAAATTAGTTAAGTTACAGTTCTCTGTTGAAGACTTTTTACTCAAACATTCATTAACATGATAGGGACTTCGATGGTTTCTGAACGCCCAGTGGTATCCTTCAAGGATATTCACTTTCTCCGTTCTTATTCAATCTTATCATAGACGTTTTTATGGAAGTTTACTGCTTTCATAGAGATTGATCTTGTCACAGAAGAACCCTTATAAGATCTAGAGTACACCGATGAAGTAATCCTGGTAGGTGAAGACACTGACAAGATGCAGAGTCTTCTCGACTTATTAGGTGGCAATTTGAGGACCTTTGAGAGGCGTTTCTCACCATCCAGCTGCAAATTGTTGCTCCAGGAATCGTCTTCAGTGGTCCCCTGTTAACAGTAGAGAGTGAAGTGGTTAAGGGCATTGAACACTTCACTTACTTGGGAAGCTGGAGCAGCTCTGGTGGGTCAGTGGCCTAGGAAATTTCAGCACACATACAAAAGGTTAGATTAACTTTCATTGACCTACGCTGTTTATGATGCTACTGTGATGTTGGAGTTAAATGTACCGTACCACAGTTCGCTTTGTTCTATTTGTATGACTGGGAAACATGGCTACTAAAGGTAGAGTATATTAGAAGGCTGTAGGTGTTCAACTACCATTGCCGTAGCATACTCTGTGTGTCGTGATGGTATCACTTCAGTATTGTAGAAGTCAGGTGTAGTATTTTGTTCAGAAGAGAAAAGTCAGCTTATTAGTTTTCGAACCTTTATAGACTTGGGTGACTGAGACATGCGTTACACGTGTCGAAATGCGCAATATTCGATGAAGTAGATTCAGACCTGAAAGAGTCAGGTGGTCAAACTGAAGTATAGCAACATTCCATGAAGTCTCTGACTGTTAGTCTAACATGTGTAAGCGTAAATAGACTTTCTGTTTGGGGTCTGCGTGACAATAGAAACCAGTGGTTGGAGACTAGGTAATATAGATCGGACTCGATGTCGATGTAGATGTATCCGCACACTATCTATAACTTAATTCTTTGCCCCTTTTTGTTAACTTTTTACCACTTTGACTGCTTTCTTTTGTATTCCTTGATCTTTCCTCTTAGTGATTTTCCGCTTGATATGGCGATATGAGGTATGGCAACTTGGAACGTTATGCCAGGTCCTATGTTTTCGTCTATGCGTTTACGTAAACTTGTTTCTGTTTTTGGTGTTATCTTTTATATTGTTATTAAGTGTTGCAACTTCAAATAATTCACTTTTTTTCAAAAGGAGGGGAAAGAGAGAGAGGGAGTAGAATATACTAAAAAGAGTACAGTTTACTACTATGTAGCTATCCGTGTTCGTTAAAAGTAGAAGACATGAAACGAATATAGGGTTTTGATCATAGGTGTCTTCTGAGCATTGCTGGCGTTTGGTGTAATCCTCGTATGAGCAATGTTGTGGTCATGTGGAGGGTACTAGGCAAGAAAAGCAAGTCGATTGATGAAGTTGTGAACCCTAGTCGACTCAGGTGGTTTAGGTGTGTACTGCGCATGGCGAGCCATTGCGTACCTCGATGCGTCATGCTTAGGGAAGTCGAATTAGGTTAGAAGAGGGTTCAGGGTGGTTAGACTAAGACCTGTCACCAGTCCGTGAAGTCTCTGATTGTTGGTCTCAGGTGTGTGGGGAGATGTAAAGTATCTGACATGGGTGTCCGAGGCGATAGGAATGAGTGGTTAAGGACTCTTGGTGGTATGGCTGAAAATCGGTCAGAATCGTGAAGATGTATCCACTCCTTGATATATTTTTAAAGCTTGTATATTGGCACTTACCGTTATCTTCAGGTTGTATATTCTCTCATACCACTTTATCTACTTTGATATCACACCTTTTCTATCCACCTCTTCTTTGTGAACTACTATAAAGTGTGACAACTTGAGCAGATGCACTTGTGTTTGAGGTTCCATGTTGATTTTGTCAGTTAGTGTGGCTATCAGATGCAGCAAATGAATTAGAAAAAAGTGTTAAACCTTCAGGTGTCTGATCTCTGGCAGCCTCCTGAGGTTTAGTGCATGGTTTTACATAAGCTTCATTCAATAGTGTGGTGAGAACACCTTTTCTCACGTTTAGTCTCAATTGCTAATCAAATTCTTCGATTAGATGACTGTATGATGACTAATTTCTTAAGTGCTCACACTACAAAACTGTTCGGTAGGATTCAGTTCTTCAATCCAATTCTAAGTCATTCATAACCCGAATAACTTTGTGATGGTACCTGTGACTGTAACACTAAATAAAAGGTGTTCGGATGTCTATGGGAATTTCAGTTCGCCAGAAGTTGTAGATACTTCTGAGTGGTAAGTTCTAGCAAGCATGAATTCTAGCTCCAGCGCTTCTTGTCAATCTCATTCAAATCTGTTGAATGCGATTTATTTGATAGGGGTATGCGTGTCTGTTTGCTTAGACACTCGCATCAAATTCTTGTATTTGTTTTTACGGACCTGTTCTTGCCGTAGTTCATTTCATGATATTGACTGAAGTAGACGATGAAGAAATATCTGTGGCAATCAGATTGGCACAGAGCTGATCATCAGAAATTTCCACTGTTATAGTGAACTAAGTGAAGAAATTTCAGCATCTAGATCGGGTCAAACGGATGGCGAGAATTAGTATTTGAAGAACTGGCTTGATATAATCCACTTTAGTACTTCCGGAATGCAATAGCCGATGTAGTGTAACGCCAGATTTTATGTTTGCAGTCATTCAATATCATGATGGCTGATATGCAAAGGAGCATTTCATACCATTAAGTTGATGGCATATTTTAATAATTTGGTTGAGTAGAAGTGCTCTCTCGGGTTGAATCATCGTCATACCTAGATTTTACTTTCTATTTTCGTTTTCGTATGAATGAGTCGAAAAGATAACCATGGAATAAAACGTCTAATCGGGCATTTACTTTCCATTGTCATCCCAATCGATAGCTGCTACCTTGACGTGATGGTTGAGCTTGTATATCACAATGACCCAACGACCTATGCCGGTGGAACGCTTGTTCCCTCGAGATCCTACCATACCAGAAAGGTATGTTGAACAGTACTTAAGCAAAAAGCCGTTACCACTATAGTGTAGAATACTAGACTATGATGGGAGTCTGATGACAAAGTTGTACTACTAACTGGACAGGGGTGGGGTAAGAAAAAGTCGGTCCTAAAAATGCCGAAATCTCAAACTTGTAGTCTGTCGTTGTCATACGATCTGAGGAGAAAAAACACTCGTTTAGCATTTCCCAAGTACGCCATCTGTAATACTGAGAAGATGCATAAACGATCAGTGAACTACTGAGAAACCTATTTTATACACGAATTGGTTAGTACCGTCACTACAATATTTTTTTGTCCTATCGGCTATAAGCGAGGTTTAGTCAGGACGCTCTTCACTGAAGTAAGAACGCTATGCTTAAAAGACAAACAAGAAGAAGAATTCTGTATCATTGAGAAAGCTCTTCTAGAGAATGGATATACGAAGAAACTCATCATGAAGCATGGAAAAGAATTTATTCAGTAACCCAAACACCCAAATTTTGAGAAGCCTGTTTTCCTTTTTCTAACATTCAAAGATGATGAGACATCTGAAAGGATAGACAGAAGAATAAAAGCTTCACTGAGAAGCAGCTTTCCAGGCGCCAGATTGATTTTAGTTTACAATGCATTACGCTCAAAAATGCAGTCGCAAATAGAAAAACACCCATCTTACGTCATCTCCAATCATATAAATCAATTTATCTGTGCTTGTGGAAGCAAAGATACAGGAACGACCGAGGGAAGGGCGCTTCTACTCGATTTCATGTACATATTCTGAGAAATCTGTGTCTGGTAGATAGCTAGATATTTACTAGCGCAATCGCCAGACACCCGATAAAAACAGGCCGTCAAATAAATGTTCCTCAATCCTTCAGCAAACAAAGAAGGCCATGTTTATTACGGTATGCGGAAACTCTCACTATCAAACATTTTCAACCTGGCTTATGTACTCAGAAAGAGACTATAATTAACCTTTCTTTACCTTGGTAACTGTGTCTAATTTTTCACATGTGGGTATATAGTCTTCCTTTTCATGATTGCATCATCTCGTCGTTAATTACTTACTGACTGTTAATCACTCAACCCAACGTTTTTCCAGTTTTTTCTTGTAATTACAAAACATATTAGCTCTTAAACAGTCCCCGCTTTTACACTGATTTTCGTTTGTTATCCCCTCACTTCACAGCTCCAGAATTTTCTATCTCATCAGATATAAATAGCCACTGATTTTGACTAAGATTTGTAACTATGACTCCTGTGTTTCCTTGATTCACTACTTCAATGTTAACTTTGGATTTCAGATCTCCATTTATTTCTACATATTTAAAGTATGTCATACCATTGTTATTGCTAATACTTCATTGCAATTATAGGCTGTTTGCAGTTGTTGAAATATAAAATAAAATGAGCTCATTTCATTCTGCGAATGTCTTTGTTCTTGTATTGTTCAAATGTGTCAAGGGAACAAAATTTATGATATCTTACATTGCTCTACGATTGCGAGGTATGTTGAAGGTGGACTGATTGCAGTTTTATGTTACTGACCATAAGTGTCTTCGTAACAGGTAGCGTAAGGTAAGACTACAGAGTGAGTAATGCTAAAAATAAGCTAAAAGTGCTAGGCAAGAAAGGTAAATCAGTTGGTAAGATTTTCATCTTGACTGGCGAAATATACCCATTTATTCATGAATAAAAACAAGACATGTATCAGCAAAAAAATATTTCTTTTCAATGACTTCATTATCAAGCCGCATAGTCGTATCTATAATCGGTAAAATGAAAGATAATTGTACTAAAAAGTTGCTCAAGCAAATATGCAAAATGGAGATTTATAGGACATTTTTCACGTTCGAAGTCATTGTTTACATCAATGCATTCTGCTATCTAAGGTAGGAATAGGTTTGTAAACATCTAATGGTGATCGAACGAAGAGAGATGTATAAGCTGCCTAAATATTACTCAAAATGTTGGTAATCAATGGGTGGAGACTCTCAGTAACTTGTACTGAGATCTATTACAATAGCCCATTTATATTCACTCATCTTTATCATATTCGAAACTCTGAACATCTTATGGACCTTAGTTTACTTGTTCTCTCTCCGTTCATATCTTATTTGTTTATTTAGATATCGTTTCAGTCCTATTAACTTCCTTTTTGTGTGAATGAAATGCACTCAGCTGCCTGGCGCACATTCGTGCTGTAGGGAATGAGCCACACTTATTGTGTAAGGGGTGATGATACTATCCAGCTGACCAAACTTCGGTAGCTGTAGCGCTGCTCGAACCCATAACCCAACAATTAGAAGTCATCTCCCTAAGCCAATGAACTACAACTCCTCTTTGTTTACTGTTTTAAAGTGAGGAAAGTTGAACTAATAGAAGTTATCCAAATGTATATCGTATCTGTCTATACTCTATGCTCCCTCACATACTAAATTAAAAGTGATTTCTTTTCTTTTTTTATAAATCTGAAGGAGGTATGTACTTATTACTGGAATTCGAGCATCCAGTTGTTTGTCCAATAAATGGTTTAGTTATTGGTGCCAAATTAGATACATGCTCAGTGACGACTTGTCGTATAGCATTACACGGTCGTGTAACATTGCAACTAAGTGATCCAAAGTACAAGTCAAATATTCTAAGCAAATTACTTGTAAGTTGTTGATTGTTTCCCTATCTTAAAGATTTGTGCTTTAAAGTTTTTTTAGGGTATTTTTATACCTTCAGTTTGCTTTCTATTCATATTTCATTCGTAAACATTTTTATTCACTATATACTATAAATTTAACATTCTAACGGGAACTTCTGGTATTAACTCTGTCCTCATGAATCAGGGTGTTCTTTGAGCTAAACAGTTATATAATTGCCATTTTATTTTGAGGCTATTGATGGAGATCCTTAATATAATGATCATAACAATTGGATTCAAATCACTGAGTTATGAACTCGAACCTTGAGTCCATCTACTAAGATTTTGATTATGCTTCCAAACTTAATCCTTGAACGTATATATAGTTCAAGTTATTATTCATCGTAGACTGTCATCAGTTGGAGAAACAAAGGAAACGTGAGAGCACTGGACAGCTGTTTCGTCCCAGTATGGGACTCCTCAGCAGTGCGCACCCACGACCCCGCTAGGAATCGAACCCGCGACCTTCCGGTTCCGTGGCCAGCACGTTGCCGTTGAGCCACTGGGTCAGAATCCAATGGGCCATATTTCCAACTTTGTTAGCTCACAGCATAGCGCAATCGCCACCCAATGTCATCGTTGAGTAACTGTCCTCATGACCATCAGGCTTTACCCCTATCGGTCACGGTTGCGCTATAACGTGAGCTAACAGAAGTTGGAAATATGAAGCATTGGATTCTGACCCAGTGGCTCAACGGCAACGTGCTAGCCACGGAACCTGAAGGTCGCAGGTTCGATCCTTAGCGGGGTCGTGTGTGTGCACTGCTGAGGAGTCCCATACTGGGACAAAACAGCTGTCCAGTGCTCCCAGGTTTTCTTTGTTCCTCCAGTTGATGTCAGTCTACGATGAACGACAACTTGAAATATTTCCTAATCCCCACAACTCCCCCAAAATTCAACATATATATACTTTATTTACCACAGAGGATTTTTCAATCAAGCTGATGAAATTTTCGTAATTATGATTACCATAAAATTGTTTATCATTGTATTAACTTTTACTGAATGCAACTGTCCAGTGCTTCTAACTGATGCTAATCTGTGATGAAAACTACGTCGAAATATTACTTTCAGTTAGATCTCAAAGTTTACTCGAATACACCTAACGCAACTCGAGTTTAAAACATTCAATCAATGATGATGATGATTTTAAACTTTCCGATGAGAAAGTAGGGAAATACGCAGTTAGTAACTACTACAAGAATAATGATATCAACGATGATCTCATTATTGATGACAATCAATAGTGAAAATAGTATTATAATGTGGATGTTTTAGAAGCTAATACAGGTCAAAACCTACGTAATATCCTTGGATGAAGTTAGCTGATAACCAGAGTCTGAATTAACATGATAAGTATTTGAAAAAAGTGAAGCATTAAAAAGAATTCTGCCGTTGCTTAACAAGTGAAAATCTGTACAGAGTTTTCTCGGATCGAGATGAAGAGTAAGGTTGTACAAACTGTCATGGGAATATTATAATTGCTTCGGTTATACGGTCGTTGATTGTAGCGAATTGATCGGTCTCTGTTGGCATATGGGCTCCTGCGCAGATGCCTCGATATTACCTCTTTTCTAATCGCAGTAGTGATAGATAGTGGCTAGCAGTTGAATCCAGGATGCGCATTTCGTCTTATTGGGACTTGTCAGTCGGATATACCTCCCTCCCAGTGAGTGTCGTTCCACCAGGATTTGAACTTGGGAGCGGTCGCTTCAAACTCCAGAGCGTTATCCACTACACCACCGAGCCACGATAGCTACTTCTTGTGTGACGGATATAGTTTCAGTATAATTATACCATAATCATACAGTCTTACTAAAACTATACCCGTCACACAGGAAGTGAATGTCGTGGCTCAGTGGTGTAGTAGATAACGCGACCAGTCCAGAGTTCAAATCCCGGTGGGAACAACACTCACTGGGAGGCAAGTACATCCAGCTAACGATTCCCAAATACGATGAAATGCGCTTCCTGGATTCTACTGCTAACCACTATCCGTCATAACTCATTGGAAAACTTAAAGACCATGGTTATTTGCTCTAATTACTGAATCCCACTCAAAAATTTCTAGTGGGATGCGATAAATGATTTTCAACCCTTTGAACTTGTCGGTTTCACAACCATTATCGATTAATTCTATTTTAGTCTGTCTATTGGAAATGTCATACAGTGACACAATATCGTTTACTGGATAACGTTTCGGATACAACTTATTGTCGATATTTATATCAGACAACTAACTCCACAACTTTGACACATCCTTTACATATTGTTAATTTTCTCTCCTTCTTTGTGACAAGGGTAGTAGAATTTTCCATATATCTGTGACAGGTGTAGAATCATTTCTACTGCATGTATTTGGTGTTGGTTCGATGAACAAAGATTCAGTCATCAATCTCTCCCTCCCTTCATATCCAACTAAGTTTTTAACACTGTCGCTCTATCCCACCCTACTGTGTCATTGTGTGCAGTTGCGGGCACAGCTATAGCTGAGCTTTTTTCTAAATTTCTTACCTTATTAGGATCTACTTATCTTGATTTGTGCTGTTATTCTAAGCTACTCTGGTCGAATCAACATCAAATATATGCAATCGAAATGATTCTACACCTGTCACAGATATATGAAAAATTCTATTACCCTTGTCACAAAGAAGGCGAGGAAGTAAGAACTGTCTCGAAGTTGTGGAGTTAGTTGCCTGATATAAATATGGACAATAAATTGTGTCCGAAACGTTATCTAGTAGGCGATACTGTTTCACTGTATGACATTTCTAATAGGCAGACTTAAATGGAATTACAATGTACCACAGTGCTCAAGTTTTTCTCCTACACTATTGATTAAATGTGATAAATTTAAAGAAATGAAGAAGGTGACCCTCCTGGCAGTCAAGTCATTGGAGAGAAAGATAATCGTATATCTTCATAGATGTTCCACTTTTGATAACCTGACTGACATACATACCAAATGGTATAATCCTGTTATCGATTATCACTTATCATTTAGATTTTTCACATGTATAACTTCTTCAATCTACTGGATTTTGAACTAATGGATAGCTTCCTAATTCCTTGTGCAATAAATATAATCTACATAGTAGTATCTGATTCATACCTGGTTACTATTATAATTCTTATTGGTTTATTTTTAATATAACATTTCTACCTCTTTAATTATGTTCAATGGGAAATCATCTTGAAATTGAAAATCTGGTGCTGAACATGAAAGTTAACTGACATTATTTGACACTATATGCATAAAACCAAGTTGTTGTATGGTAGACAGAGTTGCAACATAACTAACCGTCTTACTCGATATTCATTCATTGGAATAAAAATACTAACTAATCTCATAGTTTAGAGAAAACTGTATGGAACAGCCTTGAGTTATGATGTCGGCGACTGGATTCATGTAAATGCTAATTAAAAGGCGGATGATATGAGAGAATATGGGGAATTACTGTTTTGATAGTAATTTCCTAACACCAAATACCTTAAATATGAACAGTAGTAAATTGATCTAAACGCTCCACTTTAAAGCAATAACTTTCTGGTTCGAACCCCACTCCGTCAACTTTGGCTGGAGCAGCCAGGTGGTATTATAGGCCCTCATACAACGCATGACTCAGCGTACTACATAGAAAAATATGGAGTGGATTTGGCTACTTTGCATTATTATTATTATTCAATAAAATGCCTTATTTCCATTATAATTTTTTTCTGTTAACACTTGATTCATTCATTGGTTAACTATGTGATGGGACTGTGCTTACCCGTTATAAACTTTTTTGGGATCTGTTTTTCATCAAAATAATTTCTGGTATTAATCCTTCTCTTGATCTAAGTCTTATGATCTGAATTCATTATGAGTGATCAGTGTTTCTACAAAGCGAGTACGTAAACTTGGGCACTGTGGTAAAACTTAATTCTATATCAGTTTGCTTACCTGTTATAAGACAGTGATACAGTAATATTTACTGGATGAAGTTTCTGGTAGGATCTATTGCTCATAACATTTTATTCCACCGTAGATGTAATTTAGTTGTCAAATTTTAGTAGAATGTGCATAAATCAACTTTATGTAAGTTAGATCGCATGAGTAGCTAATTTGATATTAGAAGCCTTATCTATTTAATGTTAATCCAACGTCACCTATCAATAGGCCAATGAAAACGGTTTGCACAACAACCCGCGCATTCCTACTAACAGAGAAGATCACCAAAGTCCGGGTATCTATCCGTACCTCTTTAGATGCGACGGCATCCAGTGCTCCATGATTGGTCTTCAACATTGCCTCGGCTAACAATAGAGAGTGAAGTGATTGAGTGTGTTGACCACTTCACTCACCTGGGAAGTAGGATCAGCCCTGGTGGCTCAGTGGCCGACAGAATCTCTGCACGGATACAAAAGGCTCTACTGGCTTTTGCCAACTCACGCCACCTATGACGCCGCCATGATATCCGATTGTCTATTAAGGGTCGCGTCTACTTTACAGCAGTCCGGTCTGTTCTACTGTATGGCTGTAAAACATGGCGATGGAAGGTGGAAGACATGAGAAGGCTTCAAGTGTTTGACCACCGTTGCCTTCATATTTTGGGCCGTATTCCGTGGTGTCATCACGTGAGTAACGGAGAAGTCAGGTGTGAAGTTTTTGGGAGTAGAGGTAATACAGTTGACAAGGTTGTGAACCTTCATCGACTGAGTGGTTGACTCCGACATGTGTTACGTATGCTTAGTTGTTGATTGCCTCATCACACAATGTTGGCTGATGTAGGTCCAGTCTGGAAAAAGGCTTGAGGTGACCAGACTAAAAGATGGCATGAATGTATGAAGTGTTTGACTGTTTGTTTGAGCCATGTGGGGAAATGTAGACTGGGTGGTTTGGGTCGGCAGGACGAGAGGACTCCAGGTGATCACATGGCTGAGAACCGATGTGAGTGTTGCAGATGTATACATTCATTATCCTCATCTTAACGACACTATAGCGAATCCCATTTTCTCATTCTTCCATTCTCTCCTTAAATACTTTGTTCTTACTGAATTTTCTTTTCTTCATCTTCAACTTCACTGCCTTTTAATTGATGTAGTGATATGAGGTGTGGCAACTTGAACCATTATGCAGTAATGCCTGGTCCTATGTTGATATTGATGATTGTCGATGATATAAGTCAGCAGTATATTACGTGCAAGGGATTTCATACTTTTATGTATGTCATTTGCTAACATGGTTGTATCAGGAGTTACTCAGTACTAAGATGGTTATAAGTGTTAACAATTAACTTGAGCACTGATTTTTCTTGACAGACATTCAGTCCACTTCTTCATATAAAGGTGGTGATTTCCTTCTCAGTAGTTTTAGTTTGTTATTTGACTTGATCTAGATCTAACTAGTACACTGGGAGGGGGGGGGAAGTCTTTTCGGTTGTTCGAATTTTGATCCTGTCATTCAGCGACGTCAGAAAACCTCACTGTGACTTGTATAATCAATCTAGCTGTGACTTATACACGTTATCTTGGTTAAAATGACAACTTGAAATTGGTGAACAGATATACATTGTTTGTTGCCAATGCCCCTTAGTGATCATTTCAACTAATAATCTAATTGTCTATTCAGAATTTGTTGCATCTTCACTGACTTAAGTAGCTATTTTCTAACTTCATCATCTGAAAAGCTGAAAAATCACTGTTTGTTCACATGTACACTCAACTAATATACATTTCATATAACAGTTTTATATGATGGATTGTGCATTGGCTATCGAACCCTTACAGTCGATTCCAGCATATTCACTAACCTATATCATCTTCGGGTAGATGAAAGGTTTGCGTGTTCGGTGTGAGTTGGTTTGTACTTTCGATTCTCTTTTTAAAGTATAACATGTTGTATGCCCAAGTTGTTTTGTTCTTGCAAGTGTTTTTTACATCACTGGCTTTGTTTCATCGTGCACTTCTTGTGTAGGATCCATTGAATATTCACGTTCAAATACCTCATCAGAGTTAAACTTCCTTTAACGAATGTAGTTTTAGATTTATCTGGACGACGTCTGTCTGCTATTAAAACTGCTTTGTAACCAATAATGCAGAGTAGAATCTTATCATACAATTTTAAATGGATGCTTTCAGTCTGTCATCTACAAAACGTACTTTACAGTTAGGCCCATCGTAGTTGAAGTGACTAGATATATGTTTCAGCATAGACATCATCACTGTATAAATGATTCCTTCACATCCCAATGCGTTACCAGTTCTTATGTTTATGGACACCAATTTATCACAGACTAGACTAATCAAAATATGTACTTGAGGGTAATGGAGTGTGTACCAAAATAGTTACAAATACGATCAACCCAGAGAGTAGACGATATTCATACATCGCAAAAAACATTGATTAAAAGTCATGAGATTAGTAATAAAACAACGTTTACAAAGCGACTTTGAAGGCCACGCTAGCAGCTGCTGAAATAACCAATCAGCTTTCAGTATTTCGACTGGGAAGGTTATTATTATTATTATTATGATTTGTCCCTTGGGTTCGTAATGGAACATAGGGCTTCAGTAGCACGTCTCCAATGCGCTCTGTTCTCTAAAATCTTTTGAACCTGGCTCCACGACAGCCCACAAACTCTCATTTGCTCCTCGCACGATCTCCTCCATGTCACCCTCGGACGCCCAACTCGTCGCTTCCCATCTGGCTTCAACTCGAACAACTGGCCTGACGCGCGATGTCCCCGGTCGGCCTTCTCAGTGTATGTCCAATCCATCTCCACTTCCTTCTGCATATTTGTTGAGCGATGGGTTCTTGGTTAGTTCGTTCCCAGAGTTCCTTGTTGCTTTAACTATTCTGGCCATCTGATCTTCAGTAACGAGCCAGCGTAGGTGGCAGTTGTTGATGAATGTCTGTGGTTTGTTGGAAATCCCTTTCGTAACGCGCCAAGTCTCTGAGCCATACAGAAGCACTGACTTGACTGAAATGGTGTTGAAAATCCGGATCTTGTTCACGCTTTATGCTGAGTGCAGAAGATCTCCACACTGGTTTCAGGCTAATGAACGCCTGTCTTGCTGTGTTTCCGATTCTGACTTTCACGTCCTCGTCCGTCCCGCCTGTAGTTGAAACAGTGCTTCCTAGATAGGTGAAGGAGGCTACTTCCTTCAAGTTTCCCCCATTGATGGTGATTGGAGTTTGTTGTTGTTGTTGGTTGGTTGGTTGGGTATCATCATCATTTCTGTCTTCTCTATATTCACTTAAAGTCCCGTCTTCGCTGCCTCTTCTGCCAACTTGTTAGTTTTCGCCTGTAGATCTTCAAGCTTATGCGACACCAGACACAAGTCATTGTTGGCGAAATCCAAGTCTTCCAGGTTTTTTTCCGCGGTCCAGTGTATCCCCCTCTTCTCGCTCCCCACTGTTTGTCGCATTATCCAGTCGACCACAATCAGGAATATCTTGTATGACAGTAGGCAACCTTGTTTCACTCCTGTCTTCACTTCGCTTCAGAGGCGTCACTGATCTTCCCATTGTGAATTACTTGGCATGTTGCGTCTTCATATAGTTGTTGAATGAGGCTGGCAAAGGTTTGTGGTATTCCGTAGTATTGAAGCAGTTTCCAAATTACTTGTCGGTCGACACTGTCAGAGGCCTACTCACAGTCGATGAAGTTGAGGTAGAGAGTTGACTGTCATTCTATACTCTGTTCTATGATGATGCGTAGTGTAGCGTTTCAATTTGGTCCGCACATGATTTGTACTTCCTGAAGCCAGCCAGCAGGCCTGTTCCGGTCGTAGTTTTGTATCGAGCGCATCCTTTAGTCTCTCCAGGGTGAGGCGGCCTAATATTTTACTTGCTTTGGGTGGACAGGAGAGTGATTCCGCGCTAGTTCTTGCAAACACTGAGGTCTCCCTTCTTCGGGAGTTTGACACGGTAGACCTCCTTCCAATCAATGGACAGGTACCTTCCCTTCCTTTCACACCTTCTGCAATAGTGGTGTGAGCATGTCCGTTGTTGTCTCTGCGTCTGCTCTCAGTGCTTCTGACGGGATCCCATCTGGTCCTGCTGCTTTCCCGCACTTCAGTAGCTTTATGGCGTTCAGGACTTCGACTTTCGTCGGAGGGCTTGTGTTCACTGGTAGATCTGCGCCTGCGCGGCATGGTGGTATTTCTGGACGAATTGCAGGTGGTGGTGGTGGTGGTCGATTCAAGAGCTTCTTGAAGTGGTCAGCCCATTGTTTCCTTTGTTTCTCTTCTTTGGTAATTAAATTTCCGTCATCATCTTTTATTGGTTTCATCTGCACTGTGTTGATCTCTTCCCAGATAGTAACCTGGTTATTTGATACAATGTTGTCGGGTCTCTGCCCCTCCTACCTGCAGTCTATTCTGCTTCACTTGCCAGTGTTTCGTAGAAGTGTCTTTCGTCTTTGCGCATACTCTTCTTCACCTCTTTGTCCAGTGCAGTGTTTTATAGGTTGTACTCAGTTCCTCTTCTCGTTGTTCATCCTTGCACTGCACTGGTTCATCTTCTGCTTCACCATCTAACTCTCCCTGTTCTATCAGCTTCCATGTGTCGATCAAGATCCATTCCTTATCTTCTTTCTTCCTAATACGGTTGTGCAGGTTTCTTTCCACATCTCTTTCAAAGAGTTCCAGTGTTCTTCCACACAGATTTCTTCAGAGATGTTCCTCGATATCTTCCATTTTGTGTTGATGGCTGACATAAAGATTTCCTTTGTAGTTTCATCCTTCAGTTTCCGAGTGTTGTACTTGAACTGCGTTCCATCACCAGCTTTCTTGAAGGCTTTCAACTTGATTTGGAAGGTTTCTTGCACTAGACAGTGAGTGGTGTGAACCTACATCTGCTCCTCTTCTTGACCTTGTGTCAAGTAGGCTGGCTGCGTCTCCACTTTCTTCACATTGAGATAGAGTCGACTTGATATTTATTGTAGTGTGTCCATCTAGTGAAATCAAATCCATGTTGCTTTGTGGATATCCTTGTGCTTGAACACACTACCTAGCCTCCAATCACCAAATCGTTGAATGCACAGAATTCTGCAAACAATTCTCCATTCTCGTTCATCACCTCACCAAGCGCTTCTCGGCCCATGGTCAGTTCTCTTCCTGTGTTGTCACCTCCCAGTTTGGCATTCATGTCACCCCACCCATTTGAATTTTGATGTCGCCAACAGACGTGGTGTCTTGTCCAGTGTTGATTGAAGTTGTCTGTAGAATTCCTCCTTTTTCTTTTCATCTGCATTATTTGTAGATGCACAGTGTAGCATTGTATGATTGTGACCTTCCTTCCTTCCTTTTGAGTTGAATCTTGCTGTCATGATCCTGGAGGAGGAGATTGGTTCCCAGTGCATGAGAGCCTTCGATGCTGTTGGGGACATCATGATAGCCCCTCCAGAACTCAGTATGCTCGTGGTTGTCGTCTGGGTGACAATATCGGAGTAGATTATTGATTCTCTAGTTGACAGTTTGGAGAGTCCACTTCCATAACATCTGCTTTCGCATATTCCAAGCACTTCAATGTGATACCTTCTCATCTCGTTTGCAATCTGGGCTGCCTTGCTGGGTTCAAGCATGGTGCGGACATTCCATGTCTTTGGCTTTCATCGAGGAAGAGAAGACACATCAGCCAATTGGCTTGCCGAAGGCAGGCTTTCACCAACCGGCATCCTTTAGCCTCTCCGGTTCGGCTGAGGAATAATTTTGTTTTTATTTATAATATTTTGTTTGTGCTTTGAAGTTTGTTTAGTGGTTGGATTTGTTTTGCGTGGTAGGGTTGCTAGCCCTATGCCCAACCTTCCCTCTTTACCCGGGCTTAGGACCGGCTAGTAACTAGTGAACTAGTTAACCAGGCGAGGTTCGACTGGGAAGGTAGTTATTCATACAATAAAGTAATATGATTGGTTATCTCTGCAGTTATTAGGGTGATCTTTGCAGTCAATCCAAATTAATTTTTGATTGTTTCAACCTCGATCGTTTATCTATTCTGCTTGATAAACATGACATTTTGTTAGATATGCAAATCTAAATCTCGTTGCGGTCAAATAGAACGCGTTGTCAATCCTCGTGCATGTATTGTACATGGTTTATTTAAACGTGAAACAAATTGGGAGATATTTGTTGGTTTACGTGCACACGTGATTGCCAAGTCGACTGAGGATAATTCTACTGAGAACTATCGTGTAGGCGGTTATATTGAATCCAGTTTTGGTCAAAGTGGAAAATGTCGTCTGGCTCTTGATGGTATGTTTATATTATTTTGTCACTTTTTTTTATATTGAAAGAGGCATTTGTCAAAATTGATGAAATTTGGATTAGTTTCCATTGCTGATTGATTTCAGTGAGAGAATCTTTGAAGACCTCAAACACTTAATAACTGTTACTTCTTAGTTTGCGACTCTTCGATTCTACACCTACGATACTTAGTGAAGATAATGAAAGATTAGTGAGCAGTGACCAGCGTTGAAATGTTGGTAACTAACAAAGTAACTTTCAAAGCACACAGGGATTATGAAATTATTAGGGTTGTCGCATGATGAGAAAGTTATTTAGTCATACAGCTGGCTCACTGATAATCAACAGATGTGAGTACATTTTGATACCCGACATAAACTACTCCCATTTCTGTTAGTGATTAGTAACGATTGATTCCAAAATTTACCCTATAACTTACCGTACAATAGACTATCCTGAAGTACGTGATAAAATTTTCACAGATAGGTTCTATGAGAAAAGCTTTTACCATTAAACAAGTGGATTCTAGAAAATTATATACACTTTTAGTGGATACCAAATATACATAACAACAATGGTGGTGGTTCAATGTTCTCCAAACTTTGACGATGAAACCGTTCACAACAAAATACCCAAGTTCAGAGAACACTGAATCACCACCATCCTCGGTCTGTGTTACAAATCTTTTCAATCAAATCAAACATGACAATAATAAAATCGATAAATTTTAAAATTTATTTAAGTTATTTTGAGAGCAAATAACGATTATGTGAAAAAAAGCAGGATTTAATGAATTCATAAATTTCAGTAGTGCTCGTCAACTGGATACTCAACATACTTGATTATATATATACCGTTAAACAATAGAAAAGTACATACATACATACATACATACATACATACATACATACATACATACATACATACATACATACATACATACATACATACATACATACATACATACATACATACATACATACATACATACATACATACATACATACATACATACATACATACATACATACATACATACATACATACATACATACATACATACATACATACATACATACATACATACATACATACATACATACATACATACATACATACATACATACATACATACATACATACATACATACATACATACATACATACATACATACATACATACATACATACATACATACATACATACATACATACATACATACATACATACATACATACATACATACATACATACATACATACATACATACATACATACATACATACATACATACATACATACATACATACATACATACATACATACATACATACATACATACATACATACATACATACATACATGCGTATGTAACATGGATTGAGATAGATTTAGGTGTAACAACTTAGAAGTGAACAGTTTTCACAAGTCAAATGGTTTTGCAAAGGGTAGAAATGGGTGTTGAGATTTGAATGGGTTGAGGATACGTTATATGGTTAACTCAGTCCGGATGATAATGGATTTCAGGTAGGAAAATAATAATAATAACAATAATAATGTTGACATAGGGGTGAGAACTGAATCGATTGAGCGTCATTGAAAACAAGATAGCAGATAATAAGAATGCCAAATGTATATTGAGATGCATAATAATGATAACAATTATAATAGGAATCAGGTTAATTAGGCGAAACAAATCAGGGAAGCACAAAAAAATATCCGATAGGTGATAATTAGGAGCGAAGAGTAAATAAGTAAGTAAGTAAGTAGGGGTGAATATGATTAGACGACGTTGTAATTCCTACCACGGCAGATTGAAGCTAACTACCACTTCCGTCTGAATGCAGAGGTTTGGTTTGACAACTCAAATCGCGCCGCACCACCCAAGGAGAGGACCCCAAGGAGCTCGATAACGAGACACCTAATGGACTATGGACATGATATTGATACCTGTAAGTCCTTTACGATTATCAGTAGACAGCAAAATAAGAAGTTACTTGGATATGCACAAGCCTGGGCGATTCCAATTGTCAAACCAAACTTCTGCATTCAGAAGGAAATGGTGGTCAGCTTGAATGTGAACTACAACATCGTCTAATCATATTCACTCTTACTTACTTACTTACTTGCTTACTTGCTTACTTACTTACTTACTTAATTACTTACTTACTTACTTGTTTACTCTTCGCTCCTAATTATCACCTATCGGATATTTTTTTTTGCTTCCCTGATTTGTTTCACCTAATTAACCTGATTCCTATTATAATTGTTATCATTATTATGCATCTCAATATACATGTGGCATTCTTATTATGTCTGCATAAGTACTATTAACTATCTTGTTTTCAATGACGCTCAATCGATTCAGTTCTCACCCCTATGTCAACATTATTATTGTTATTATTATTATTTTCCTACCTGAAATCTACTATCAACTATCTATGTCTTTTCCTAATTGGTAATGGGAAACCAGGTATTTTACTATCAGAGAACTGAAAATGTTTTACTAGATGCGATCATTTAAAGATAGGTGAATACAGGAAGCCTGGAATAGGGAAAATGTCTCCCCGACTGTATAAACTTTAAAGTAGCATGTTTTTCCTAACATTTCAATGGTTTGCAATTTTTAACCGTATAACTTATCTACCTCTTCATATGTCTTTCACTTAGACGACCTCCCTGATAAAATATTGGCGTTGTATTCTGCAAAAGCTGGTAGGAAGACAACTTCAGAAACGGAAATAAAAGTTGTTCTTGAATTTAAAAAGAATATATTTGATCCACAACGTCGTATTATTCAGTAACATATATCTGTTGTAGAAAAAAGAATGAAATTTTTTATACGTCTGAAGTACTTTGTGTGAATATCTTTGTGCTATAGTTGTAAATGTGTATAGATGTAACTCACTTTGTTTACATTGTCTGTGGTGGATTTTCCTTAGCTATACTAAAACCTCCTGAATGCTTGTTTGGAATAAATCCCAGTAATGCAGCTTCTAAGTTTTGCTAGTTCAGGCAAATAGCTGTACTGCTGGTTACAGTAAAATGTAACAAAATTAAATGGTTTCCATCCCATGGCCAACCTCTACAAATATGCTACTTTACTGTGAATAGCAAGAGGAGTTATTGTGGGTTCCACCATAAATCAATACACTCTACTTGTCAAATTGAATTTCGGTGTAGGCGCTAGTAGTTGAAAGTCAATTACGCAACTGTTAATAAAGTGTAAATATTCCAAAACGATCTTATCCAATCAGCGTTAATCAGTTACTATGAACAGGTAAGGCAATCTATCTATACTTATCTGAACTACTTTATGATATAAGCTTTTAAAAAGTATTAACCAACCGCTGTCTTCTCACTCATTTAACGCATGGACTTACTGAAACACATTATAATGAATGATATATTCAAGACGGTTAGTGGTTATTTGTTACAATCGGAAATGTACAAGCTTGTTACTGTTTGTGCTGAAACTCTGACGTACCAATTACTTGGTGAATATATGTAATTAACTACCTCTCAGTCTCATATATTTTGTTAAACATTCTTAATGTAATTTCTAATACATTGCTCATTTATTGTTAGTTTTTTAAGCTTTAGGTGTGCTGGTCTTTGGTGTGTTTAAAACAAAGTTAACTAACTGCTTAATCTTCCATTTTCATAATCACAATGTATTTGTTGATGTGAACTGTGGCAACTAGGATTGTTTCATAATCGTAACAGTTCACAGGATCTGCTTGTTTTCGTCTGTAGGATTTATTTGTCTACCGACTACTACTATATCCCTAGCTTAATTCGTCTATCCACCACAACTTCCTATGCATAATGATTGATTATAGAAACTTGTTCATCAAAACCAATGCCATTTTTCTGCGTAAGATCGAATGCAACACACATTCAGTAGGTCTTTGTGTAATATTTTGATGTTCTTCAACAAGATTTGACAGATTGTTTCAAAGTTTCTCAACGTCGGCTTTAGTATCCAATCATTCAATAGCTCTTGTTAAAGAAAGGCTAGAAATTTCAGCTTAGACGACTTTTCAGTAAACCAAATCTCTAACTAAATATTGATATATGTAGCGGCAAATAGTTCCCCGAAATCACTAGCCTAGGGTTCAACAGGACTCAGCATTGATACTTTTGTTTTTCTAGCGAACTGGCTGAGATGAAGACACACTGTCAAGCATCTACGCCATTTAGTACATTGTGTTACTTTGCGCTGATCGTACTCGATCCTCTAGGCAGTTTGTTCGAATGCATCTGTATTTTGCCACGGCTACCACATACACTATTTCACCTGACTGCTCGTGGATATGTAGCAACTACGAATAATTAGTGATTGGCCTTTGTGTTCGCCAAGTTCGCTTATAACCTATTTCTATATATGCGTTGATGATGGTTGAAAGGATCTATAAGATAGAGTAAATAGTGCGAAATAAAAATGGCTGTAATAGTAGTGATTCTAGGTCTAAACAGTAACTAGAAAATTCAGATTATCGGAGACTTAGTCGTTTATACGATGGGTTCACCATACAAATGGGCACAAAGTTTGCATAGTTGAATCTCCGATTTAATCGGTTGGACGGCGTTTTCAAATGAATTGTAAGATTTGAACCACCTTCCTTTCACTTACTAGGCGCAATCTGTCAGCATCGTCGCTTTATCTTGTGCTACATGAGCATGTAATAACGTATTTATTAGTGGAAAAATATTCAAACTGTCATTAGTACTGTTTTGTGTAAGGTTGGTTCCTTGACAAAAGTCTCAGCATTCATAAGAAAAACGGTCCACTTCGGCAGTTAGCTGACCAAATGTCATTCTTTTTGGAATAAATTGTAATGGGTTGCTTACATCTGCCCATATCATTGAGCAGTTTTCTGAGTCGCAAAGTTCAGTTTTTCACTTATATATTCTCGATTGGTCGGGCTTAGCACACTCAGACATTGCAATAGACTACCTAAAGATTCAGTTCATGAACTGAAATATTTACTTAGAAGTGGCTTTTCGTGGTTATCCATAAGTCGCTAGCATGTCCAGATTGTTAGCAGACCATTAGTCACATTGGTACAGCAGCCTGTGACAACTACACGGTTCACAGGAGTCATGCTGGCAACTGACTGACATTTCGTATGGCGTCTGCTAAGTTTAAAATAGTGTCAGTTTTCCTACTGGAACTCAGTGCCGTCGTCATTGGAGTAAAATATCTCTAAAGGATTTAGAGTAGTCCCTGTAGTTTTAGGAACAACACTAGGTTCCATCGGAATATGGTAACAACTTTGAAGAGGATGTTTACTACTTCATGAAGTCATGTATGCGAAGGATGTTATGTACATCAATGACAGCGTGTTTATCCAACTTTCTACGGTCACCACATAGTCGCACTTCACCTGGTTTCCTTTTGAGAGCCACATATGAGAGCTGGTGATCACTGGTTCGTAGAACGGTATCCTTCCCTTTCTATCTGCAACCTGCTGGGGTCTAAGTGTTGAGGTTTGGATAAGAATGGAGGGCTTTTGGAAAAATTATGGTCTGTCACTATGTGCTTTAGCGAGAACTTCAGGTGATTCGTTTGCGCGAGCTCAGGAATATCTCCTGGTACAGCATTGCACATGGAAGTATTAGCTACTGCAGTCAACACCAAGTTTATTATTTCTGTGTCAGCAACGATACCCGAGATGTTTATCTAGCCTATGACCACTAGGTTCGATCAAAAACTCTTAGTTTTACAGAAAATCTATCCCTGTTATATATGAGATAATTGTGACGATAAATTTCCACAGGAATGGTGCACGAAGACCTCAGTTTTGAGGTGAAAACTATTCATACGTGTTAGTAGCCGATCTGTTCGTCAATTGGATAACCTAGGTTGCGTTCGGCTGGTGCTTTTCTTGAGGTGTGAGGACGTAATGAAGATGGTACGACAAAGGAGTAGTCACCCTATAAGTATATAGAGCGATCAGTAATTATACTTCAGCACTTTCTACTTAGTTAAAGAGAGGTTCAGTGAGGACGTTTTAACAAAAGACAGAGAGATTTTGTTCCCAAGAAAAAGTGCAAGGATTTCAACTGAACGAACAATGTCTAAATAATGATGGTTACGCGACGAAGTTCGTTTAGAAGTACTACCAAAGCACGGAGAGGAGAACGGGATGTGTAACAGTTGAGAATAAACTGGTGTGCTTCTTATGCTGGTTTTCAAAGGAAATGTTTTTGCGACAGGAATCAACAGACGAATTAGGGATGAACTGTCCGGCTGCGACGCTTGTCTGACTGAACCAAACAATATGTGCAATTACACAATCCAAATTATACTAAGTGCAAAATCTTATTAACTCGTGATGTTGAGATAACCAGTCTGGTGTCCACATTGCAAATTGATCCACAAAACTTGGTCGGCACGTAGAACTGGACAACATGAAGTTCGTTACCTTTTATTAATCAATCAATCTGCCTAATACATTCTAACAGGAGGTCAGTTGCGGCCTAGATAGCTTGGTGATAACGTCTCTGACTGCAGCACTGGGTAGCGCGGGTTTAAATCTTAGATGAGACATCACTTCCTTAGAGGTTGCAGATACGCCTAGCTGACGAGTGCTAAAAAGCATAAAACCTAGGTCCAGGGCTTCTCGCAGATTGCCTTCCTCCAAGTGTATTTATCACTTCTAGCCTATATGCGGTAGCAAGTACGCAGGAATAACAAAGAGTCCGTTGTCTGTCAGGACTGTCGAGCACATGTCATGGAGTCTGCGTCTCAGAGGTCCACCTGTGTTCAACACTGCAACTCCTCATAATTTATGTGATATGCGGCATCAGGTAGGTGTATTAGAATCCTTCGTAGTAGTCAACAGGTAAAATGGTAGGCTAGCTTCTCATCACATTCTTGCCAGCTCTAGAATTGCATCACCTGAACTTCGAGAAACGTAAGAGCTATAACCCAGATAGTTACCGGATAGTCAGAGGAAACAAACAATGTGGACTTAACAAGATTCAGGGTTGTAGTAGAACTTGAACAGTGAAGCACCATCTATCGTGTGATAGTGGGAGTCAACACAAGCTGCTCTTTGTATTCCTTCATCTTTTTGAACCAACCAATGCCTGAGAGTCACAAGACCTTTTCAAAGTCAAGTATTCTTGTTTAGTGAACAGTCATAAAAGAAAGCAAAATAAATTCAGCGTCAAAGTTGGATAGCAGTGGTCCACATTCGCTTCCAAGACCTCATAACCCAAAAACTCTCTGCTTTAAGATTGTTTTCCGCATCAGTTTATCAGGTCTTAAGTTCGGCGAGTGCTTCTCATCTTTTCATTTGGTCCTTGAGGGGCGGATGTTCAAACTTCGAAGTTTGGATACATTATTCCAGAGTACATCCACTTCTTCTTTTTTGCCCAAAGCAACCTTGGAAGTCCCCTTCTCATCAGGTATTTCATCCTCCTTCTTACCTAGCCTGACTACTTTGGATATGTGTACTCTCTTAGACGTTTCAGATAGAATATGTATGAGAGCCGACTCGACTAGTCTCAGGTCATGGCCATGATGTATTGAAGGGTCTTTGTCTGATGACTCCTCAATATTCCAGCATATTAAACTGGGCGTCGGTGTGGAGTCCCTGGTTCGCGTGTTGACGGCTGTCAAAACCTCGATAGGTCACCTATATAGTTGACAAGTGTTATCTAAAGATAACATCCACCACTATTCGCGGCCCAAGCGAAGACTACTGATCAACTTAAGTTTGAGTTGCTTTCGCTCTTCACCATGGTTCGAGCTAACCGAAATCAGTCTCTTCGCATCAATCACTTTGGATGA